GTTTTATGTTTTATGGCGTTCGACTGAGTTTGTTCCTCTTCTTTTTGAAAACTTGAGATGTTCTCAAATAAATTCCGGCTTTCCTCACCTCAAAGAGGTTAACTTTTTTCGCATAAACTAATATCCGATTGAGTGCACAACATCGCTCATGTGATTCTTTTGGTTATTTTTAGAATGTGTTACACAATTTTTTTGTTTTTCATATTCATTATTATCTGTATTGATAACAACTTAATTTTTAATTATTAATATAACAAAAAAATACACATATAAGTAATATAGACCAATGTATACACATAAATTGTGGTTTTATCTAAATTGAGTATTAAATTAAATTTATTAGTGCTAAAATGGATGCTGTTAAAGCAATTAAAATTTATCTGAAACGCTAATAATAAAACCATTAAAATGATAGTCCGACGAATAAAAGACAAAAAAAACAGTTTGCATTGTTATTGTTGATGTTGATATCGTTAAAAATAAAATAATCGAAAAATACTTAATTAAAAACATCGTCTCAGTGTTTTTTTGAAAAGTTCTAAACATAGCTTTTTTTTTGTAAAAAAAATAATGATAACGTCCACGCAATATAAATACCAAGCAGTCATCATTTTTGCAATCGTCTGGCAGATAATACTGCCAAAATATTTTGTGTACAAATTCTTATCTAAAAGGCAGTGTTTTTCCTCCAAGAATTATTCATATTTTTGTTAGCAAAAAAATCTTATTTAATAACGAAAGATAATACGCCAATTAATTTACATTAAACCATTTAAACGATCAATCAAAAAAAATAATGATGTAATCATTCTATTTATTTATTTTCTTCCAAACAGATAAAATGAAGAGGTTTATTCTGACTAAGTAATTGTTTTAATTCTTTCTTTTATAAAATGGAAAATTACGAATTTTGATTAAATTAAAAAATTATTTAAAAATTACTAATCATCATCCAAAAACCTTTCGTTTGATACAAAACATGACATGGTTACAAAGATATTTTCCAGGACAGTGACCCAAAAAATTTAACTATTTTTACACTCGATATTTAGTAGGTCTATTTTTGTAAAACGATGAATGTACAGGGAGAGTTTTTTTAATCAGAGCCTAATTAAAATGGAATTTGTTTAGAATTAAATCTAATTTATCCCTAAAATATTATTAATGTAGTTTAAACAAAGAAAATAGCGAATAACAACACAATAAGGAAGAAAACGAAACTTTGTTTCATCATAACTTTTTGACTAACCTGTATACTTAATCTGTCATTATTGTAATAGATTTTAAATAACACTAAAACTTTTCTATCTTAACATTTTTCGCAAACTACCTTACTTTAGGAGATAACTAATTTTCTCATTGGACTATTAATTTTATTTAATTAACTAAAATTTTCAAATTTACTCATGTTACGTAGAAACGTTCAGTAATCACAACAAATTTTACCGCTATTTTTTCCATCGAACGATTACGAAGATATCAATCTCTAAACTAAGTGACCTTGACTTTTGGCACGGATAATAGTTAATGCATAAAAAGTAATTTTTAAGATTTTATCTCAAATTGAGACGTCAGTCATACCACTACGCGTTGTTTGGTTACGGACTGGTTACCGCAAGGTACAAATAGGAATGGTTGGGATACGACTGAATAACGTCATATATTTCATTACTAAGAAATCTGAGGAATTAAACTAATTAATATATCTGCACTTATCATAATTTATATAGAAATATTTAACTTGGTCAAAAAATTATGACGTTTTTTAAATTGTCATTGCTAACTTCACACAAGTAAAAGTGAATAATGTCAAAAAATTCTAATAAACTTTTCAAATTATTTAATACAAAAAAAAATATATAATTTTTAAAGATTAGATTAAAAATTTTGCTTTTCAGATTATAAAGATTAATCACATCATAATATCTTAATGATATGATAAGTATTAAATGAGTACTCATTTTTCCCACTATTCAAGGACTTTGACTTGAAACACTTTCAAAATTGTACATATGAATCATAATACTTAAAAAAAAGTCAAATAATTTATACATTTTTTTTTATTTTAATCATTTTAATACACACATCAATGAACAAACCAAAACAAACAGTAAAAACATATATTACAAGTTAACAATGAATATAATTGTGAGATAGCTTAAAACGAAAAACAACAATAATAGAACTGTTTTATAAATAACTACAAACAGTTTGAACAACAAGTCATTCATCATTTGCAAACCTAGTGGCTGGCAAAATACTCATAACAATTAAATCAAAACCAATTGTGGATCGATGAAGAAATATCAACAACGTTTTCAATAATAAATTTTAAAGTTCATTGGCCAGAGTTTTAAAAAACCTTTTTTAAGTCAATAACTCCAGAAATCAATAGACAGAGGAAATCATAAAAAAAATTGTTACTTACGAAAATGTTACGCAGCTGGTGTAACAAAAAAGGTTGTATTTTAGTTATAGGTCACTAAGCACTATACTAAGAATATTTGATTAAAAAAAAAACGCCGGGCGTAACTGAGAAACGTAAACCTCCTGTATAAAGTTCCATAATCTTGTCATATGACAGGGTTGTTATTGTTGTGCGCATGCGTTATAACACTAAATCGACTCTATTTGTAAATTAAGTTGTATGGAATAGGGTGATAACGAGTTAACGTCTTCAAATTCCAAATAATTCAATGAAAAACGCATTAATATTGAATATAGATCGATGATAAATGGAGTAATGTTATTAAATCGCGCCAGAGTCGGAGATATGTAGTAATACGTAACAATAAGTGAGGGCCGAATTACGAACAATAATACGACAATAACACGAAGGAAATTGCTACTAAGTAGATAATATGTGTGTCGCCGATTAAAGAATACTAAAACACGACCACCCTCGCCCAACTTTTAATAAACTCCTCCTCTTCTAAAACGCGAAATTAAAGTACTTACCCGTTTCAGACGTAGCCTAATCTTGAATAATTTGTAGACCCACACCGTTTCCAGACATTTGCGCCAAATTGCTACAAGACAGCAGCGGCCACTGATTTGATAATACACTTTTTTAACAGATGTGTCACATTTATTTTGCGCCGCTAACTTCACACCACTAAACCGTAAACCGGGGAAAAAGAAATCACCTCTCCAGATTTTTAGGGATCTTTCTCGAATAAAATTTGATCCAATACAAGAAAAAAAACTGTTTATTTCATATCGGGCGGGGAACTAAACGTTTTATTCCGCGGCTGTATTACAACTAAACTGGGGTTAGGTGCGATGTCTAAAAATAAACCTCTCTCCGAATCTGTAGGTTCTCTTCGACTGAATGCAAGTCGTACAACAGACGACACCGGGCACGTGTGACACTCTCGTAGTCACGCGGTCTTCTCTCTAAAGTTGCTACACAATCGCGAACGAATTGTGGGTTAGAAAAACTGACAGATGATCACTTGGTAACATCAATTCTGACAACAAACCTCTTCGAAATCAGTAAACATTTAAAATAGGCAACCCAAATTACACGTTAAAAGAAAGTGCCATCTCACGAAGAATTTACATACTATAATTTAAATTTAAATTAATTTAAATACGATCTTTTTATGGTTTATAATTAATACGGATTAAATAAATTAAATAAACAAAAAATATTTTTTTTTAAATTTTATACTAATCATGTTATAAAAAGATTTATTAATATTAAAAAAGAAATTAGGCAACCAACCATACTTATTTTTTTTTAAATTAACATTTTTAATTTAAAATGTTTAAAGAATCCTTAAAATTTTGTAAAATCTTCGTTTTATGATCATATTTTATGGTTGTCACGGTTAAAATTGTTGGCAAAGTAAATAGCCTTGTTGGCAATTGAAAAGTTTCGTTCTAAAACCGTACGAAACTAACCCAATTTAATCTAGCTTATTTTAACGGTTTTATTTTATACGAGCTATATTTACAGTTAATTTTATGATTTTTGAATTACATTTTGTTACTTTTTTCCCATATGTCAAGCATACGAAGAGAACGTGTTGTAATCGTGCAAAAAAACGTAAATAGTCCTTTGAATCAACATCTATTTTAAGTGTTGTGTGTAAACACGATCTAAAACAAATCTGTATTTGAATATTTTAATTAATATAAATTATTCTTTTGGCAATTGAACCATAAGATCATTAAAAATAATTTTGTAGTTAATTTATTTTAATTGTTTTGATGTATCTGTAGAAATTCAGGTCTAAGAAGCAATGAGTTATTGTGATATTAGGCTACATTGTGACACAACTGTACTCTCGTCCAGTTGCATGCTCAATGGAAATGGCGAAGAATTTAGTTCCTCAATGACTTAATTCAAAACATGATTTGATCATTACTTCAGCCTTCGTTCAATATTACAACAGATATTTGTCAAATTTAAGAAGATTGAAAGGTAAATAGAAGAAAACATCCTTAAGTTATCTAATTTGTATAATCCAGCTTTGCGTCACATAGAATTGAACTTGTTATCCAATATCTTGGGAGATTGCAATTCTGGTAGCGAGCAATTTGGAAAATTGAAGCGCCCACTCATTTGTTCTTCAAGTACGTTTTGGTAATGTGAGTTATAAAGTTAAGGCGGCTAATCGCAGAATCAGATCTTTTGGATAATACTTGATTCTGAGGCGAAAATTGAATGTTTTCAAATATTTCAGCTATGTTAGTAGAGTTGAGATCGGAATCAAATCGCTATGGTGTTGATTTCTGCTGAATTAAGCGAAGGCGAAACAAATTAGGATCTGCCAGAACTTTACTTAATGATTGTATTTATTTCGATGATTCTTTGGCAGTGAAAAAAATGATTTTAATAAGATATTGAGCATAGTAGTCTGCTTAGCTATATGAGTTGGGGTTGGGTTGAGTTGGTCTTTGTCAGTATCAAAATATTTGAGGCCCATTCTGTTTCCAAAGTTACTTTGAAAATATCTAAACACGATTAAAAAAAGATATAATAAAATGAGAGTGTAGGTGTAAGTTAAATTATTATGTCAGGTTATGACAAACCATAATCAATGAAAAAAATCTAAATAAAATCGTTTTAAATTCATAATGAATTTTACGTCTCATACAGATACAACTTTTTCGCATCCAAATCCACATGCTAATCATCCAAATCCAGGAGGACAAAAAACTAATAAACACAGAACAAAACAGAAATTGGAAAATATAGGGAAATTTATTTATAACAAGAAAGAACATACAGTTTGTTTAAGAACGTTTCAAAATTGGGGTGAGATTGCATTTTCATTAAATTATTTATCATTTAAAACTAAATTTTAGTTATTTTAATAACTTATTACCTGATATTTTTGAGTATTCTTATGGTTCTTTTTGCTGGTTTATTGTCTGTGATCCTTCAGACTTTAATGAAAAATAAATCGGAACCATTGTTTCCTAAAACCGATCTTATGGGCGATTTAAGTCCAGGTAATAAAACAAATAAATTGTTTTAAGTTTCACTTTTAAAGCTTTTTTTAGCACTCACCATATACCCTCGAATACCTACAGATTCAGGCCTTTTAATTTATTATACACGAAAAGCGGATTCCCAGAAAAATATTATCCATACTGAAAAATATACAGAATTGATTCATAACTTTCTAAAACGTATTTAAAAAATATATATGTTTATAAGAAATAAATTTTGTTAAATTTTTTTGTAGCTTATGATAAACATGAATCTAAAATACACGTTAATTGCGAAAAACACCCGATTAAAGAAGGACAATATTGTTTATTTAACAAATCTGATTTAGGACCTTGTGGAAATTCTAGTAGTGATTATGGTTTTCGCGAATATAATCCTTGCGTGTACTTGAAATTAAATATGGAAAGTTTAATTTAAAAGGGTATGTAATAATAAATAATCATAAACAATCATTTTTAGATAGAAGATTGGAAACCGTCGAGAAAACGAAAGAAAACGTTTCAATTTCAAGAAAGAAATGAAAGATTTTCTGGAACATCTAATGAAACCAATCTGAGTAATATGGTAAATTAGATTTTGTTTTATAAGTTCTAATGTTAGTTTTAGTTCCGTTCAGCGTTAGATTCTTGTATATTTTTATTAAACTAAAACTAAATTTTGATTTTTTTAACGATTTTGACATATAAATGTCATCGTAACGTTAAACGTCATTTTGACGTTTAAATAAAATTTTCCTAAAATGGTACCAACCTAAATTTTTGGAAATCTTTTGATGAATGTCAAATATTTCTCACCACTTTTATTAATACATTTTTTGATTTATAGTAATATATTTCGATACTTTTAGTATTTCGATCATATTTTTTCATTAAATTAACTGAATTTTGAGTTTTTAAGATCATTTTTAACAATGTTGACGTTTAATTGTCAAATTGACGTTTAAAAGGAAACTTTCTAGGTGTAGTGTTAGTTCTAGTTTTTTAGATTTTATTTCATTAGATTGGAGTTTATTGCGAAGGTTTAACTTACTTTGATGAGGAACATATGGGAAAAGTTATTTATTATCCTTTCAATGGATTTAGAGAATATTTTTTTCCTTATGATGGATCAGATGATTATCTTCGACCAATTATTGGTGTACAATTCAAAAATATAACACGTAAGATAATCCTATATCCGCTTCTATTTAAACAAAATCATTTTTTAAGGAGGATTGTTGATTGGGATTAAATGCAAAATTATCGACATTGAAAATATGAAGGATCCAATTCAACATTCAGTGATTTTTTATATTTATTTAAACCATGAAAACGCAGAATAAATATAGATAACATTTAATTTTTATTTTCTAGTAGTACATTTGTTTAATATGATTTCAATAGAGTTTAAAAGAAAGGTGGTACATAAAAAATATAATATGTATATTTAATTTTTCAAAAATCTAACAAAAAAAATTATAAAATCTTGACGCTTTTGATTTAGAAGAAGGCACCTAAGAAATTTTTCATTAAGTTCTTTTTAACTTAACGCGCCTTTTACACAAAACAAATTAAAACTCATCTTTTCGCGCGCACTTACTCCGTATTTTTTTTGTAAATAAACTAATATGACACAAATATTAAGGTTTTCTTTTGTAAACATTGAACTAACTTTCTAACAATAAGTTATTAATCGCGTTCCTTATTATTTTTTTTTTAATAAGTACTAAAGCCTAAACGAAACGTTATAAAACTATTTAAAAAAATCACAAAAAAAGGAAAATAAAAACAAGGGTGAAATAATTTAAATTAATCTCGCATAAGTTCAAAGTGCACCGATCCTCGTCTATCACGATAGCTGCCCACGTATATAATATTTTTCGCCCAAGCTCGACATTCTATATTAACCAATATACTCGCTGAAATTAAAGAAAAAAATTATTAGTAAAATACATCAAAATAAACTCATAATAAATTTAATTTAACAATTTCTGTTATGAATGAGTGATTAATTTTGTTAGTTAATTAAAAACATTGAAAATGTGAACTTAATAGTGATTTAGATGGAAATGAAGTTGTTATGAAGATCTTTTCAGTGAAATCATAGGTAAGTAAATTACTTACGTTTAATATTCAAAACTCTGACCGCTATTAAAGGACTTAAATAGTTCTTTACGTTTTCAAACGGATAATAATAACTAGCAAATCCTCGCGGATAATACTCGAAATTTGGAGTGTTTCCGTCATTTATATTTTCTTCATCAACAGATTTTTCACCTTTACATGAAACCCATACTTGGTTAGCTCTTCGTTTATCCTACAACAGAAAATCAAAGTAAATAATGAGATTTTATTAGATTGACTAAAATTGAAAGTTGAATTTTGATGTCAAAAAAAAATGTATAACTTACTTGGGCGTATTCCTTCTTAATATGTTCAACTAAATCAATTGGCATATCACTTGGAAGATTGTCTATATCATTATAATATTCAGGTACCCATCCAAATATTCTATTTAGTTTAAGGAAAATACAAGGGGAAGAAGTATTGTAACCGTATCCATTTTCAGGAGTACAAGGCATGAATTGTTTCATATCTACATCACAAACTTTTCCTTCACCAGGACGTTTATCAAAATCACATGGTTCTCTATTTGTACCGAGACTGTCGTTCATATAATCTAAAAGAATGAATCATAACGATCCAAACTCAATTATAAAATGTTCATCAAACCTTTAAGGAAGACGTTTAATAAGTTTACATATTTATCCGCAGTTGTACCATCCTTTGAATTAAACGCAATTAAAGCGCCTTCTTCAGCACGATCAGGTAATGGTCGAAAACCCATTCCAGGATTCGTTCCTATCAAGCTTCTATCCAAAATCCATGATGGTTGTGTGTCATCTAACGTCGCGAAGAGACCTTGCATACATATCGCAAACATTGCACCTAATACTATGTAGAATAATCCGTAAAATATTAATAGTTTACCTATAAAAGAAAAACGATAATTAGAAAATTTTAATTATTCACAATAATGTGCGTTCGTAACGTTTTACTTTTGGCTAATTCCCAAACGTTATTAATGGAAAACCAACGAGAAAATTCTATTTATAAGACGATGTTGTTTGTTGGATACACGTTGACACTTTTTCTTTAATTAGATATCGATTTCGAAAAAGTAATTTTATGGGGTACTAATTTTCATTTAATAATTGTGAGTTAATAATAGAGACCGTGTTCTAAATGATAAATGAAGCGTTGATATTAAAGGAAAACACCATGACCTAGTAAATTCGTCCATAAAAATGGTGATCACGTTCTATTAATCGAATTCTGACGTGTTAAGTCCAAAAATTAAGTAATGTTTACAAAAAGAACAATAAAATTGTTCCAAAAACTCAAAATCTTGAACTTTAAGTATTTATATTCTTGTTTAATCATATTTAAAAAAGATTCCTGAAAAAATCCATTATTTATTATTAAACTAAAACTAAATTCTGATTTTTAAAATGATTTTGACATACAAATGTCATCGTAGCGTTAAATGTCATTTTGACGTTTAAATCTACAACAAATTTTCCTAAAATGGTACCAACCTAAATTTTTGGAAATCATTTGATGAATGTTTCAATATTTCAACTTTTGTAATAGTTCAATAAAGATAGTTTAATTCAATAAAAATATAGAACAAACTAACGCTGAGTAACATCTAAAACTAGATGACTCTGACGACGCACGGCTAAACCCCAAACTTTCTAGTTCTAGGTCTAGTGTTAGTTCTAGTTTTACTTTAGCACTCTTACTATGTAGAATTAACACTAACCTAGAACAAGAATCATTCAGGTTTAGCCGTCTTTAGAGACGTGCGGCTAAACCCGAATGATTCTAGTTCTAGGTATAGTGTTAGTTCTAGTTTTACACTTGCACTGTCACTAGAACTAACATTAGACCTAGAACTAGAAAGTACACGTTAAAATACTTTATTCTTTCTTTTCGGATTCAAAAATTAAGTGATGTTCACAAATATTTTATAAAGAACAATAAAAACGTTCTAAAAACTCAAATTAACCCAAAATCTTGAACTTTAAGTATTTCTATTCCAGTTTAATCATATTTAAAAAAGATTCCTGAAAAAATTCATTATTATCCAGGAACGCACCTGTATAACGTTGCTTTTGGTCGGTTTGTACCGGTTTGAACTGCTACGAACACGTCGATATCCGAAGCTTCTCAGTCGCTGCGTTACAAAGTTGAGAAATCTAAAGAGGAGTAAATTGCAACGAAAACGACAACGTTAAACGTAATTAAATAAGTCTACTCTCGTGATTCCCAACTCCCAAGCGACACAAATTAAATTACATTTTGAAATTGAAACGTTTCAAGTATCTAACTCAATTGCGGTGTCAAATGGTTAAGTGATCAATTCGGTTGATTTAATTTTGTTGTAGAATGAATAAAAAACATTCATTGAGCTGGAAAATTTTAATTTTGATAGGAAAAGTTAATATTTAAATTGCTTATTCATGTTTGTTTGAAGATTAAAATAATTAAACAATAACCCATTTTCTTCTTCTTTTTCTTTTATGTAAATTATGATTACAAAATCCCCAAACTATTCAGCACTAAGTTTCTTTGTGTAGTATGTATTATTTAACGTAAAAAATTAGTATTTAATACGTTAACCAAACAAAGCGTTTATCGCGTTCAGCAAACATTTTGCAACACAGTTAATACTGACACCTTGTATAGAGTGATAATGACACGGATTCGTTTTACTACAACCAGTTTACAATATTAATTCGAGTACTAAGTGGAGTTAACCAATTTTAGTTGGTTTGTACTGCTTCAAACAAACAAAAAATTGAAATTATTAAAAAAAAAACAATTTATTTTTCAAATTTTTGCCATGAAGCGAAGCCTTTTAACTTTAAATAGTATCAACGCATGATGTTGAGTTATAAATATTCTTGGAAGATCGAGTTATTTTCAAAACCGGAAAACAAAATTTCGTTATAAATTTAGAAACCACACATACAAAATAAGGGTGTGTTGTGAATGAATTATTTTTTTTAGAAACGGAAATGCCCTACCCGATTAAATTGATCGGGAAATACGTAACGTAAATTAAGTTTGGATCTGTTGTTTAATTTAATTGAGTAACGCTTTTGATGTTGGTAAACGGGATTAAGTGGTGTTGCAGTTTTACAAAGTGTAAAGTTTTTTTATAAAGCCATATAAATTAAATAAATTAAATTTTAATTAATTTTAAATTTAGAATTTTTTAAATTACAGTGAAAAAGAGTGACTAAAACTATATTCTGATTTTTTAAATGATTTTGACATATAAATGTCATCATAGCGTTAAACGTCATTTTGACGTTTAAATCTACAACAAATTTTCCTAAAATGGTACCAACCTAAATTTTTGGAAATCTTTTGATTAATGTAGAATATTTCAACTTTTGTAATAGTTCAATAAAAAAGTTTAATTCAATAAAAATATACAACAAATTAACGTTGAGTAACATTTAAAACTAGAACTAACTAGAATTAACTTAGTTCTAGTTTTACACTAGCACTATTACTAGAACTAACACAAGACCTAGAACTAGAATCATTCGGGTTTAGCCGTCTTTAGAGACGTGTGGCTAAACCCAAATGATTCTAGTTCTAGGTATAGTGTTAGTTCTAGTTTTACATTTGCACTGTCACTAGAACTAAGCTAGAAACCTTCGGGATTAGCCCTGCGTCTCTAAAGACGGCTAAACTCGAACGTTCCTAATTCTAGGTCTAGTGTTAACTTTAATTTTTATTCATAGTTTAAACCATAAAATTACTGGAATAAGAAAAAGTTGCCTTACAAAACGGATTCAAATAGTTTATTCTTTGGAAAAATCGACATATAGAAGTTAACGACATTATAGAAATGAAGTAATTTCATAGTAATGCAGCTCGAGTTACAAAAAAATTCGAGTTCATGAAATCCGACATAGAAAGATAAGAACACATTTGAAACCTGGTAAAACGCTTGAGCTTACGAAAATTATTCGACTTAGAGAATAATTCGAAATGTAGAACTTCGAATTAGAGGAATTTATAAGTTATTTTATAAGGTTTGAAATTATTTGATACTATTATAATGGGCAATGAAAAAAAAAATGCTCATCATGCGAAAGATATCACCTTAGGCAACAGGTTGGCCTTCGCTTGGATTTGTAAGTTGAAACCGAGAGTGACCCAGAAAGGCAACGCCGTTGTGAACTTGAATGGCTATTTATTTTATTTACAAAATTTTTCTTTTAACACCCGATATTTATTATATTCTAAGATTAATTTAATTAACTAAAAAGTTACACAATAACGTGAAATTAAACGTCCGCTTTTTTTTTCTAAATAACTTTATTTTCCCACAAACGAAATAGATTCTTCCGGTTAAATTTAAAACGTGATGACTCAAACGAAACCAACAAAAAAATTAAGTCCTTCCTAATTTAGAAATTTATTCAAGTTGTTACAATGAATGAATGTGAAAATTCTAAGTTGCGGTTTTGGTTGTGATAGTTTTAAAACGGTTTTTTTAATTAAATAAATAAAAAGAAAATCAAAAATAAAAAAAATTTCGATAAAATAAACTGTCAAAATGATTAAATGTCAGAACTTGACGTCCATGTTCTTGGTAATTCAACAAATAACCGCAGTTCTACCAACCACGCGTCACGACGTCTGACGTTTAGACGAAACAAAAATTTTCTATAAATATCGAATTTACGTTGTCGTAAATCGTGAGGCTGCGAAATATCGATACACCACGTCGATTTTAACGTTAAACACACGACTACTATTAAATTAGTTGAGGTTAAAAACTTATTAAGTAAGTATTTAGGTTTGTTTTAATTAAAAAGTGACATATGTCAAATTTGCAGAAATCATAACCTCAAAAACGCAAGCGGTGTTTATTTTTACTCAAAATTGGAAACTTTCTTAAAGATAACGGTAAAATTAATAAACAATCATAGGTTGATTTAATTTTCAAGGTTTTGAGGGCTGATTTTGATATTTTATGTTGCCAAAAGCATTGATTATCTATCAAGAATATAAAATCGATAACTTCTCATTCCACATCCCTTTAAACGCAACTTATTACGGCTTATTTACGACAAGGAAGGAGAGTGCATAAGTGAGTTGGTTTGGTACAGTTGTACCAAGTGTACACGTGGAAATGAATTATTGTCTTATTATTCACGCTCTTTGTCTAGAGATAGGATTCACGCTTTTTATATCCTCAATAACAGATAATACTAATACTATCATGGGATAAATCAACAAACATTTAACAGGAAAAGTGTCTTAAGAAGTTAGGAATACTCATTTTAGATGTATAGATCAGATTTTATAATTCAGTTATCCTTCTGCTACAAAACTATGCAATGTAAAATTGTAAGAAGTAACTTATGATTCGATTTTGATCAACTCATAAGGTATCCTGTCGTTATATTTGACCATATGTTGATAAAATAAATAATGATATAATGTGATGAAGTGATATAATTAAATATATCACTTCATGAATGGATTAGTACATTAGACAAGGATGTCTTTAAAGGTCATGAAGTTTCTGAGGGGTGCATGACATGGACGTCCGTAAGCAAGAAGGGGAGAGATATTGATTTTTTGGGTATAGATTTTCTTCACGAATTGATAATATGTACACCAGGTCAATATAAAAACTGATGTTATGGCTCCATTTTGTGCAGTTTTTGGTTCGATTTGTACAGACCATTCGTTGTACCCAAGAAAAGCAAATGATGTTGGGTTGGGTTGGGTTGTTCATATGATTCACTTGTAAGAAAAGACTAGACGAGGAGTTTCAAAATCAACAAGAAAAAACTTATCGAAGCAAGTGCAACAAAACAAGATTAAGAAGATGCATTGATTGAAAATAATGAGCACATGAACTTTGTATTCCAGATACTCAAAATTCGTTTTATATTTGCCAATCTGATTTTTTAATCGTTGTTAACTTTTTCCTAACAAATATACATGTGTGGTTTAAAGAAGATGTTTCTCGGTTAAAGTCGCTGCGAAATGTTTTCCAGTTGTTTCCATAACTATGTAATTATAAAAAATGAAGAAACATTTTTCGAATTCTAAATATTTATTAAAAAATAAATAATTATTTTAGTGCAACCTTGCATACCTATTATAAAATGTTGTTTTCAACAGAAAATATTCTATGAAATATTGCTAAAATAATGTTCTTAACAATTATTATTTTAAGATAATAAAATAAATGTTTTAACGTCAATTGAAAACCAAAAAAGAATTGAAAAAATTTGCGTCATGAAATTTTAAAAAGATGATTGATACAATTCAAATCATATTGATAATGTTTGCGCAAGTAAAAGATACAAATCTCGAACGATATTTTTTTTAATGGATCAGATACAACTGACGCAAACAAAAAGAAAAAATAAATCCACATTGTAACGAAATAAAATCGTTAAGCACTTATAAAAACAATTCGTTGCAGAACACAAAAAGCGCCGATAATCTATAATATTTCTAAAACAGGTATAACCAGTTATGTAATAAAAATGCACTTCCATCGCTTCATAATGAAATAAAGTTATCATACTTAACACACACCGCATTTTACTTGTTAAATCATTTGCATCAATGTATTTTTTCTGATTTCTTAGAAAACTATCGCACGTCTGTGTGGAAATAATTTCTTATAAAAAAACTTAAAATAAAGGTTTTTAAGCATGGTGTGGTCGTTAACCTTGATGATTCCCTTGAAACGATAACTCTTCAATGAAAAAGTAGATAACGAAATATCAAATTTTTTTAGTAAATTGTAAAAATAACATAGTTTTAAATTCAAAATCAATACCTTAATGGAAAAGTGAACTTTATATCTTAAATTATAAAATAGAAAAAACAAAGAATGATGGTTCAAGTTAACTTAGATAATCTTCACGTGAAGTTATGTAAACGTTAATGTTATGTAAATTTATTAATTGTTATCGTTATCTAATCGGTTATAACGAACAAAAATCGATAGGTATAAAGAAAATCTTTAATAAATAAAAAATGGAAAATAACCGCCGAGGCAGTTAAAATAAACAAAAATTGAACAACGAATAACAAACTTACGATTCAAGTTCCGATTTCAAATATTCGATAAACCGACGTAAAAGGATAAACAATCCACTATCATTTATTAAAAATAAGATAAAAGTGAGTATATAAAGTTGTTTTATGAAAACTGAAACGCAACCGAACGCACATGTATTAACAAAAAGAGTTTAAAAAAAGCTTGTAAACAAATTAATACTTACACCATCCTTTCCCAGTTCGCCCTAAGATTGTATTATCTGATTTGTTGTAAAATGTTGTTGAAATTTTTTCCCATGTAGTTTGTTCTGGTGGTTTCATATAAGGGAACGCGTGCACTCCATTCTTATCTTTCTCTGCCATTCTCTGTCGAAGCAACGATTTCGACTGACGACGACCAGACCGCGACGTTTGCCTCTCTCCTCGGAGGCGATTCTATTCTAATCAGAAAACGACGGCGAACGATACGAACCGGTTGCGCGTCGTTTACGTCGTACTCGAGTTGTGCTGTGCCAGCAACCAACGCACGTTCAACAAACCCAACTTTTTAATACCAGAAACCGGCTCCATAAAAAAAACTATATCTCCCCTACCTCTCCGTTTAATTTCAATGAAGATAAGAGAAACAATCACAGAAGTGGTAAAAACTCATTTCGTAATGTTTATGATTTAATATGAGATTAATATACAGTTTTTTTTAAGTAGGACGTTTTAAGTTTTCATTTATGGCAACAGTTTCTGCAATTATTATTATTTTGCAAAAATAGAAAAAGAAAGTTCGTAAATGTTGGATTAGGCAAAATTAGACTCTTTTTAAAAAGTAATACACATGGTATCACACGCCGTATGAGTTCATTAAAGAAAGATGATTTATTAGCAGAATCCAGGATCGACATCCAAAACATCCAGAAATTTTGAGATAGGAGTTATGTTTCTTTGAGTTCCTTTCGGTGTGGCGTAGCTTTAAATTATGTCCGCGATCGAATCAATAGAAACCTGGCTAATTTTGATATTAAACCTGTCTTAAATTATTGTTGTTATTGTTCCTAAAAAGACAGCATTAAATGGATGATATATGAATCACTAAGTGGTACTTTACGCCTGTATAAGTTCACAAAATGCGTAGGTTTTATTATTATTCAAATGCTTTATTGTCCATCATTCAGTTATCAAAAGAAAACGCCAAACATACAAGAAGATTAAATCGTTAAGTGACGAATGACGTTACTATATTGTTCTTACGTGTGAGTTCAAATACTTAGATAACATCATTTCGACGAATGTTAATAAAATCTAAAAAAAACTTCACGATAACAGGGAATTAAATATATTATAATAATAATAAAAAGTATATTGACAGTTTATTTATTTGATGACACCTGTCAAATTGTTGTGAAGTTGGTAACAATAGCATGATTATATTATATTTATGTTTAAACTTTCGTTATTCAATAAGACAAAATACAGCTTTTGATTTTTGTATTTATACACAAATAATTGAAATAAAATATAATGTCTTAATCTCAATTATCTAGTTATTAAATATGTTATTAGAAATCAGAATTTAGTGGTAATACCAACAGCAACCCTAAATTTGACCTTGACAGGTATTGTAAAAAGAATCAAACTGTATAGTTATAAGTTTATATTGTTAGTAATTATTATAATTATATTTTTCAATAAAAATATGCAAAAATAACACAAAAATATATTAAAGTATAATAATTTTATTTTCGGAAGAATTTTATATTTTTATGTCTTTTTAATGTCAAAAATGTCATCTGTCAAGGTTTCTTTCGTAAATAATATTACAAAAATTTACTTTTGTTATTTTTAGAACATTATCTTTCGGCTACCTACATATATTATATTTCAACCCACTGTGCAATGCTTCATATAAATAAATAATGACATTAATAGATAGTTTTGTGATTTTTGGCTTATGTACCTGATAATGAATCGATTTTTGAAAACTAATGATCTTAATAAAAGAAACTACCACATGCCGTTTAATTATTATACTGTACTTTGTAATTACTTGTATTACTTGTAATTATTGTACTGTACTTTAATTATAACACCCTTAAGTTCTATCCCTTTCACTAACTATGTATGTATATAAACTTCGCACCACCTTATTTGGCAGCCATCAGTATCCAAATGTTCCTTGTCTGCTCCTACCGTAAAGAATTCTGTCTTCGCTATATTTATTTCAAGATTTCGAGTGATTCGTATTCTTCTTTAAATTTCCTTGTCTTGTATGCTGCATCTTCTCTATCTCCAACCACAACGATTTGGTCGTCTTCAAACTATAAAGTGTATAAAAAGGAGTCATCGAGCTGTTGATGCTTAAAATTGGTCAATTAATAAAGGGGATTAATTAATTTGTTTTTGTCCTCTAGTTATAATCGATTTAATCTAAATTAATACGTTCCTTTTTGGGGGGTAGACTTTCAGGCGTCCATACGTGTATAAACAACAAGTCGAACACGGTGTCATTCTGAGGGTTGTACAAGGTTAACGAGTTAATAGAAAAATATATATAAATATAAAAATAATCGAGTTATGAGAACTTAAAAAGTCATTTTTGCATTAATTTTGTGGTTTAACAAAATTCGAAAACTTGAACGATTTCGTAACGATTGAAAGATAAAATTTATTACTGAATTTTATTTCACACTTTATGATTAAAGTTAAGAATTTGATAAACATCCACGTTTATCTATTTGTTAACGTAATTATTAATATTAACACATTGAGCGATTTCAAAAATATCTTATGATTTATGTATCTTGTTATATTTTACGTTCGGATCAGACTGGATTGAGTTAGGATGAGATTTAAACGTTCTGGATTCATCTGGATTGGCTTCGATTTTTCTGATTTATCTTTTCAAGAGAGTCGTTGACATTTTACAAATTATAAAAACATTAATTATAATGTATTTCGCTGAATATCGATTTTGTCTGCAATTCGCAGTAACGTCGTTTATGACTCATTCAAGTTCAACGGCTTTCGAAGTAGTGAATTTCACCACGTTGTATACAAACAGTTTACTTTAACATTTCTTTTTTAAATTAAGAATTTATAATCGTTTAGAACCTAAATTTTTTTTACAATTTATATTTTCTTAATAAAATTATATGGAAAATTATGAATTTCCGTTACACGAACCAAAACAGTTTTCCAGTTGAATCTGGTTCGGTTTCGAGGTTGTATCGCAGATAGTAAACTCTAAAATTCACTTTATAATAAAATTTGCATTATCGAGATAACTTTTTTCGGCGCCAAAAAAACGTCACGTTTCGATATGTACTATTTTTTGATAAGTGTTCATATGCTGACGTAGATATAAACCAATATCGTCGTGCGACAACATTGCGTAATATGTTAGTTTTTTTTCTTTCTTTATTCAATCGGGCGTATAAACAACGTCTGCTCTTGTGAATAAGGGGACTATATTTAATTTTTTGGCGAGATTTCAGGAATTTTCAGCTACACTGCACCTCCTGTGTGAGTGAGCTATTTTCGTTTTGGTTTTAACCTACATCTTTTTCAACCAGACAAGGTCTTGGATATATTTTAAAAATAAACCAATTAAAATTTTTAATGATTTATTTAGTTTACATGATTAATCATGTAATTTACGTTGAACATTACTCATTTATTTTCTTGTTATGTAAATAATTTGATTAAATTTAAATTTTTTTTATAAATGTAGGCAACCTTTTTTTAAGAACAGCATATTGTGTTGCATAACCACCAAGTACATCTCTCAAGACGGCTAAACCCGAATTATTAGCTCTAGGTCTTGTGTTAGTTCTAGTGATAGTGCTAGTATAAAACTAGAACTAACACTAGAGCTAGAACTAGAAAGTATCGGGTTTAGCCGCACGTCTCTCAAGACGACTAAATGTGCTTATCGCATCAGATATTAGTCTTTGCCTTGTATAGAGTACAATTCAAAGGCCTTAAAAAGGGAAGAAGAAGAAGATTTTTTTTTTGTTGTAGTGAAATTTATTTTTAATAATTACAACTTTTGGTTTAGATTTCAAATCGGTTTCAAAAACAAAACCTTATTTACAACATTCCCAAAGAAAATAAAAATCAAAAATTAAAAGCTTATTTTTACGATGTCATTTTGGACTTTATTCTTTCTTTTCGGGCACTTCTTCTTTAACGTTTTTTGCTTCGATGGTAACGGTATCTTCAGCCTCTTCTTTAACCAAATTTTCTTGTACACCTTGTGGGTAAACAGCTCCGTTACTTCCAATTAGTTGAAAAGCAAATCCATTTGGTAAAATTGGCGCTTGGTATGTAGCATAACTGAAGGAAGCTCCAGGAATTTGGTAGTTTAACGTTACTAATGGAGTTGCAGAAAATGGAAGAACCTGAACGTTACTTGGAGGGACTCCATAAAAGCTAATAGGATGTGATAAAATAGGTGCGGGATTTACCACTGTTGTTTCAATCTCACTTGGTCCCTCACCGCCGGATTTTTCAGCCAATTTCAATGCTTCTAAATGTTTTGATCTAGCTTCGGCCACTTCAGGGGTGTCACTAACCGGGAGAGGTGCTTCTAATTTCGGTAATTCAGGTACTTTCGGTGCTTCGGGAAGATTCGTTGCCGATTTTACTTGAAATCCATTCTCATCCGATGAATATTCAACAGATTGTATTTTTCCGTCTGAATCGAGATATTTATAAACACCGTTCGTTGTTCCATCTAAAGATCTTACTTCAGATTTCGAAGATAACGGATTTGCATAAGTATAGCTGTACTGTCCATCTGCGTGTTGTTGAAATTGAACTATTTTATCGGAAACTTCGGGAACTTCAAGTTTCAAGGTTACTTTCTCCTCAGATGGTCTTCCGAAGACTACCCCGAAAATGAAAAGGCTTGAAATGATTGATTTCAACATTTTTCGCGCTGCTGATTTTTTGATGACCAGTACTCGCAAAACTGTTGCTGAAATCTGAAGAGCTGCTTGGTTTTATAGTGGTTGACCACGCCTTTGAATCTGTAATTGACTTTTTCGAGCATTTTTTTTTGTTGTTTTTGTTTTGGAAGGCGTCGTGTGTGTGGCTCCTGGTAATTTTCAAGTTGATGACTTTGAAAGGACGAAAAGGAATTTAGCAAGGTCTTCAACTAGTTTTTAACTTCTTAAACATTTTTTAAAAAGTCATTGACATCAAAACATGTTTTTTTTTGTATCATAACATCATTTGATCATTATGTTATGAAAAAATTGGCTTTTTATTATCAAAAATTTATTATTTTTGAATTAAAAACGATTTTTTGTGTATATTTTTGTTGATACACTTTTTAACCTTTTAAGACGGCGCCTAAATGTCACAGAATCAGGTAAACTTTTTTCGGGTCTGCTTCTTGACTTCCTTGAGCAGGTAGAAGGGCGTGGTCGGATTCGTATTAAAATAAAATCAACGATCTCGTTTGCAATGAGATCTCATTTTTGGAAGATTTACTTTGTAATAAATGTCGTTTGACCTTTTCGGTAACTTGCTACCACATTTTTTTTTATTTTAATTCTCCATTATGTGTTAATGTCCTGTGATGACTATCATATTAGCAATCATTAATTTTTTATTGAGTATTTTTGGGACTTCTTAGAAGAATGTGGGATGTTTTTCACCTTGAAATATCGTAAATGTTATCGTTAATTATCACATATTTAGGAGATTAACAATTATTAAACAAGATTTAAAATCTAACCGGAAGTGATGTAAACTCATTTTTATATAAATTTGTAGTTATATTCAAAAAAAGTACATCCTAAACATCCTCGTGTAATTTTTCATATAAACAAGAATTAACCCGAAGATAATACAAAAAAAAGTTAATTATTAGTTATTCTAATTGATGATCTTAGGTTGGCTAAATAAAAAATCACTAGGTTTGTTACAATTATTTTGATAATTTGTGTTGGTAACAAATTTTTTTGAAGTTTAATTGTCACTCAATTTTTGAAAATCAATTTTTATTATTTATTAGGTTTTTTAAGAAAAATAAAACACACCAAAACATATTTTATAATAACACTCAAACAATTTCAAACCATACTTTAGTTGTAATCGAAATTTGGGTGAAAATCAATCAAACGACGTCACTCAAGTTCAAACTCCGAAGATGCTAAAAGGATCAATTTTCGACTATAAGTGTTATAAATCGTGAGTACAACTCTAAATTAACATTTCTTTACTACATTTATAACATACATAAAAGATTTATTTAAGTCGTTATCTTCAGAATAAGTTGACAATATAAAAAAAAAACATAACCTCAAAAATTTGCAATTTCTTTCCAAAAACACTTCTTAGGATTTTTAATAAAAAATAGAAGGTGAATTTTCAAAACAATCCTTTTTATTGTAAAATTCGAGTCAATTAAAACATATGTCAACAAAACTTTGTTGTTTAAAGGTTATTTACATAATTAAAATTAAATACGAAACGAAATAACGTTGTTTATAAAATATTTCTTAGGTGTAAATGATAAATATCAATCCTGTATAAAAAATAATTGCAAGAGATTCTTCGAGATTCTTCACATTTCTATATTTTTATCAAAAGCTATATTACGTGGAATGAGATTAAAATTAATTTTTGTTGTGCGGCTTATTTGGAATGATTCTATTTTGTACACCTTTATAATGGCACTTTTCTCTTAATCGATTAATAATTCAAAATGGACGGATCCAATTCTATCGACTCTGCTGTGTTTTATATTTCTCGCCCAAGCTTTACATTCGATGTTAATTACAATTCCAGCTAAAAAGTAATAAATTAATTATATTTTGTTGTGCACTAATCATTACATACATTTTGGTCTTAGGAAATGCACGGCAACCAACGGACTTAAATATCCTTCCGCATTTTCGTATGGGTAATAATATCCTGGAAAACCTTGGATATCTGGGAAGTATTGAATTGGACCAACAGCTTCTACATCAGCAGGGTTTTCACCTTCGCAACTAACCCAAACGGTGTTTCTTTCTTCTGGTTTAGCATCTACAATTCGCTTTTTTAATTCTGGGGGCATATCTTGAGGAAGGCCGTTTGTTGTGTTATAATATTCGGGGATCCATCCATAAATTTTATTTAATTTCAAAAATATGCAGGGTGAATTTTTGTGGTAATTGTAATGTTGATCCCGGTTACATTCTTTCCAAACTTTTACATCAACATCGCAAACATGCCCCTTTTGCGGTGGTTGAGTGTAACTACATTTTCGTACAGAGGCGGTTCCTTTTTCAGTCATACCAGGAGTGTAATACTCTTAAAAAATGTATATGTTAAAATAAAGATAATGTGTTACTTTGATTTAGTATTTACTGTCTAAAAATGAATTTAAACTACTCTTCCACTTTTCATAATTGGTCTTATTGGCTCCTTGAATCCAAATTAATGTGCTTTCGGCGTTTTCCATTGACATTGGTCGAAATCCCAAACCAGGATTAGTTCCGATTATCGATCTATCTAATTGCCACTTAGGAATTCTTGGATCCAAAGTTTGGAAAAACACCCACATACAAATCGCCACTAAAGCAGCTAACATTCCATAAAAAATCAAATAGAAAAGTCCAATTTTTGCTAAAAACAAAAAGGAAACCGCTAATTACAAAACTTTATTAATGACTCATTTTTAACAACTTATACATTCCAAAATTATCGGAAACAATACAAATTTTATTATTATGAAGTATACCTGGAATTTCATATAACTCGCAATATATGAATGCAGTAACTTACCACTGTCACTAAAACTAACTTTAGACATAGAACTAGATACATTCGGGTATAGTAGCACGTCTCTTAAGACGGCTAAACCCGAATGTTTCTAGTTTTAAGTCTAGTGTTAGTTCTACTTTTACTGCAGTAGAAAAATAGAGCTAGAACTAGAAAGCGTTAGATTGTTGTATATTGTTATTAAACTACAAATGTCATTTTGACATACAAATGTCATCGTAACGTTAAACGTCATTTTGACGTTCAAATTTACAACATTTTCCTAAAATGATACCAACCTAAATTTTTGAAAATCTTTTGATGAATGTCGAATATTTTTAACCAGTTTTTTTAATAATAATATAATAAATTTATAGTAATATATTTCGCTACTTTTAATATTTCGATCATATTTTTTGCATTAAATTGACTGATTTTTGAGTCTTTTGAGATCATTTTTAAAAATGTCGACGTTTAATTGTCAAATTGACGTTTAACAGGAAACTTTCTAGTTCTAGTTTTTTAGATTTTATTTCATTAGATTGGAGTTTATTGCGAAGGTTTAACTTACTTGTTATTTATTATGTCACTAAAAGTAACATTAGACATAGAACTAGAAACATTCGGGTTTAGCCACACGTCTCTCAAGACAGCTAAACCCGAATGATTCTAGTTCTAGGTCTTGTGTTAGTTCTAGTGATAGTGGTAGGTACGATATTTTTCACTTTGAAATATCGTAAATATTATCGTTAATTATCACATATTTAGAGATTAACAATTATTGAACAAGATTTAAAATCTAACCGGAAGCGATGTAAACTCGTTTTTATATAAATTTGTAGTTATATACATACAAAAAAAAGAGATACATCCTAAACATCCTCGTGTAATTTTTCATATAAACAAGAATTTAACCCGAAGATAATACAAAAAAAAGTTAATTATTAGTTAATTGATGATCTTAGGTTGGCTAAATAAAAAGTTACTAGGGTTGTTACAATTATTTTATCAGTTTGTGTTGGTAACAAATTTTTTTGAAGTTTAACTGTCACTCAATTTTTGAAAAGTAATTTTTATTATTTATTAGGTCTTAACGAAAATAAAACACACTAAAACTTATTTTATAATAACGGTCAAACAATTTTAAACCATACTTTAGTTGTAATCGAAATTTGGGTGAAAATCAATCAAAATGACGTAATTCAAGTTCAAACTGCGAAGATGCTAAAAGGATCAATTTTCGACTATAAGTGTCATAAATCGTGAGTACAACTCTAAATTAACGTTTCTTTACTAGATTTATAATATACATAAAAGATTTATTTAACTCGTTATCTTCAGAATCAGTTGACAATATTAAAAAAAAACATAACCTCAAAACTTGACAATGACTTTTTTCCAAAAACAGTTTTTTGGATTTTTAAGACAAAATTAAGAATGTTTCAAGTTCTAGGTCTTGTGTTAGTTCTAATAATAGTGCTAGTGTAAAACTACAACTAACATTAGACCTACAACTAGAAATATTCGGGTTTAGCCACACATCTCTCAAGATGGCTAAACCCGAATGATTCTAGTTCTAGGTCTTGTGTTAGTTCTAGTAATAGTGCTAGTGTAAAACTAGAACTAACACTAGACCTAGAAAGTGGGTTTAGCTGTGCGTCTGAAACTAGAACTCCGATTATCGATCTATCTAATTGCAACTTAGGAATTCTTAGATCTAAAGTTTCGAAAATCACCCACATACAAATGGCTACTAAAGCAACTAACATTCCATAAAAAAATCAAATAGAAAAGTCCAATTTTTGCTAAAAACAAAAAAAGAAAACACTAATTACAAAACTTTTTTAATGACTCATTTTTAACAATTCATATATTCCAAAATTATCGGAAACAGTACGAATTTTATTATGAGGAATATAAACTATAATTTATAAAATCAAAAAGTTAATCTTATCGTTGCCCTAGTAACCGTTTAAAAAAATAAACGAAAGGCTCACCCCAACTAGCCGAATCTCGACCTAAAAGCGTACGTTGTTTTGGATCGAATAATTTCGTTTTTAACGGTGGCATCATTTGGAATTCGTCTTCGTTCTTAATAGCTACCATTTTATGTTTATGAAGTAATAAATTTAAGTTATAATGGACGGAAAAGTTACAAATAATCTAACACTAACGTAAAAAAACGTAAACACTGCTACTTTACGCTTGATTCATAGGATAGGCGAGGTCTTTTACGACGTGGTGGGGGAAAAGTCTTTTAATACCAATGTTACCACACTAAAATTTAATTGTTTTTGAAGAATTTATATAAATTAAATTCCGTTATAAAAGAAATTTATCAAGTGAAATAAGATTTTAAGATAATTTTGATGGGATAATCAGTAAAATTAGAAAGAAATTATTAGATTTATTTTAGTGCCATCTCTGATTAAAATCGTGAACTATTTTCAAAATTTTTAATTTATTCTAATTATTTTTAATTACTTACACCAACTCGCTCCATTTCTACCAAATAATTTATTTTCTTTCGGATCCCAAAGAAATTTTTTGAATTTCTGCCCATCCGAAAGCTTCATTTCTTCCGGCTTTATATAATATGCAGTTTGGGCGTTTAACAATTCCTCCTGTTTAATTTGGGCAATTGATTGTTGCCTACTTTTAACTTGCGGAATAGCATTATTGGTGTTGGCACTGCTATTGGGCATTTTACCACAATCAATTAACAACCGTTTGATCGTTAAATAAATTAAATACGGAAAATTTTGGTGTGCTTTAACTGTACCACCTTGTAATAAACTGGGATGCTGCAGGAACGACTGTCGGACTCCTCCTGCCCGTTGTAGGAGGGCTCCGGATATTAGCGATTTTCAGACATAAATACATCCTCATTCCGTGAGGTGGAGAGTAATTTTTTTACGCAAACTTACACTGGGCGAGACATCGTTTGGGTCTAATGAGGTTCGGGTGTAGTGTTGAGTTTAGTCATTCGTGCGCAAGAAGCTTTAGTAATTTTAGTTAATTTGATTTCGGAGACGGGGAATGAGAAGTATGAAGAGATGGTGATATGACCATGGATAATACTAGATAAAGCTGCATTTAACTACAATTTTTAGGATATTTTCGTCTTAATTAATTTAATTTTTATTTATTATTTTAAAAATAAGTTTGATTTGAATCATTTATACCTAAAACTAGTTTTGGTATAGTTTTTAATAATTAATAATATAATAAAAATTATTTCAAATATTTTTTTTATTTTTTGTTGAATATCTTCATCCTTTTTGAATAACGTCTTGGGAACGTCTAGTTCAGACCTAGAACTAGAAACGTTCGGGTTTAGCCGTGCGTCTCCAGACGCTGAATCACATAACGCTGAATAAAAATTAAAACTAGAACTAACATTAGACCTAGAACTAGAAACATTCGGGTTTAGCAGCACTTCTCTTAAGACGGCTAAACCCGAATGTTTCTAGTTTTAAGTCTAGTGTTAGTTCTACTTTTACTTCAATGAAAAATAGACCTAGAACTAGAACGCGTTAGATTGTTGTATATTTTTATTAAACTAAACCTAAATTCTGATTTTATAAATCATTTTGACATACAAATGTCATCGAAACGTTAAACGTCATTTTGACGTTTAAATCTACAACACATTTGGTACCAACCTAAATCTTTGGAAATATTTTGATGAATGTCAAATATTTCAACTTTTGTAGTAGTTCAATAAAAAGTTCAATAAGAAAAGTTAGGTCAATTAAAATATACAACAATCTAACGCTGAGTAACATCTAAAACTAGAACTAATACCAGACCTAGAACTAGAAACGTTCAGGTTTAGCACGGCTAAATCCAAAATTTTCTAGTTCTAGGTCTAGTGTTAGTTCTAGTTTTATACTAACACTGTTACTGTGTAGAACTAACACTATACCTAGAACTAGAATCATTTGGGTTTAGCCGCACGTCTCTAAAGACGGCTAAACCCGAATGATTCTAGTTCTAGGTATAGTGTTCGTTCTAGTTTTACACTAGCACTGTTACCATGTAGAATTAACAGTATACCTAGAACTGGAATCATTTGGCTTTAGCCACACGTCTCTAAAGACGGCTAAACCCGAATGATTCTAGTTCTAGGTATAGTGTTAATTCTAGTTTTACACTAGCACTTTTACTATGTAGAACTAACACTATGCCTAGAACTAGAATCATTTGGGTTTAGGCACACGTCTCTAAAGACGGCTAAGACGGTAAGTCATATTATTTGTGACTGTCCCAACCTCATCTATTTAAGGGAATCCACATTTGGCGTACCATGGTCCCACATTTCGGACATATCTAAAGAACATCCCTTTCTGTTCTATATTAACGTTCATTAAAACTGTAGGCCTAAGTGCTGTAAAGAAATTCATCCCCACATGCAACTACATACATACATTCTCATCACTAATTCGCTAACAGTATTTATTTGAAAACTTTCCTCAATTTCTGGAAATTTATTAAAAAAAACTTAAAATTATTTTGAAGTTTGATTTTAATGAATGTTGTATTGAGCTGCCATCTCTTGGTTAAAATTTGTTACTCAACTATTTGTAATGATGGTTTAAACAGATTTCTGTAATAACTTTGAAAAATGGAAATAATTTTCATGTTCAATAAAAGATAGACTTTCTTATTTAAATAAAGGTTATGAACACTATTTTAATTGAAATATTTAAATAAATAAAAATACATTTCTGAAATAAAATTGTGTATATATTCGCCCGATTACTTCTTAATAACAGTTATATTTAAACTTTTTATCAAGAGCGGAGTCAATAAACAGATTAATTGAGGCTTGAATCTCTGAACTTGAACGTCACGTATTAAAAAAAATTAATTTTTTGATATATTTTCTTTATTTTTTAGAGTGTAAAAGATAAATAAGAAATTCCATCCCCGAGATTATTGCGTAACCATTGGCGTGGTTGGAATTTGGGTCGATTATTTTGGTGGGAGGGGGTTGGTTTTCCCGTAAAAGTTGGTTGTTTTTCCGTTGAGATGGCGCGCGTGAGGCGCAAATTTCCGCGGCAAGCAGCAGCACCAGCAGCAAGCTTCGTTATTAAATTCCGTCGATCGAAGACCGAGTCGCGCTAGTTGCGCATGTTCCCCGATGCCACCCCAGGAACCGATCCGGTAGAACATCCCTTCTGCTCGTAACGAAGGGACACGCCAGGAATCATGTCCGACAAGAAGAGCACCGAACAGTACTACACGAGACCCCCGAAGCTTGGCAAATGGGAGGGTTTCAAAGTGTTCTTATGGAACTCAGAAACTCATCAGTTTTTGGGCCGTACAGGTGCCAGTTGGGGTAAGTTTTTCTTTTTTTTCATTTTCAAAAACCTAGCTTTTCCGACATTTTGAAATGGTATTAACCCAGTTTTATTTATTAATTTATCATAGATTATTTAAATGAAGTTAATTTCCAAAAATACATATTTATGATTTCATTTTTTGTTGGTTCCCTTTTGAAGTGTTATGTAACCACCGTTTTCTTTGTTGGTTCTACTCCATCCTAATCAAATCGGTTTTCAAAAAATTCTTTTTCTCGTTTTACCTTGAAAATCGACCCAATTTATTTTACTCTCAATACCTCTTTTTATCGTCCCCCTTTTTTACGACCGCGCATATATTCATCCCTTTCAGAATCGTCCCTTCGTCTTCGCCTTTTGACCTACATACACCAAATAAATCTAAACGAACCGTTTGCTTTACATTTTACTCACAGTTCATAATCATTTCATATCTTTATTTTTGTTTTAATCGAATTTTGGGGTCATAATACGATTTCTTTTTCGTAGGAATTTATTTTTGTATTCAAATTAATTGAGATAATGATAAATTCCGGTTTAAACGGCCATTTTGAAGTGGTGTTACGTAATTTGTTTGACAGATTTCGTCCGTTTCAGGACCATCAGCAGAGAAACAATAGGATATTGATTTCGCTCGTTGTCTCCCTTTTCTCAAGTAGTTTACATTTTACATAATGATTAAAAATTAATACTTATTTATTCACACAGTTTATTTCTAAACCGGATCTTTGTTATCAATTTCCGCCAAATTAACCACATAAACACCAAATAAAATTTTGTTTCTTAATATAATAAAGTTACTAGCTTTAACTTCAATACCAATTAATATTGCAACCAAAAATAATGATACAAAACAAGTATTTTCCGTTATTTTATAATCAAACGCATGTTTTCGCTCGTTTCGAACACTCAGTAATTATTATTCACTTTGGCCGATCAATTGAAGCGCACACGCGGGTTATTTTTAACTTCCACTGGATTTGCGTGCTTAAACCGTCGGATTGTACCGAAAAATAAAACCGGGTTCCTTTCTTATTCGAAGTTTATGGATGGTTATGGTTCATGTGCTACCGTTTTTTAATTATATTGATTTAATACGGCCTTGAACTGTTACGCAAATATCTTTTGTCTGAATGCATTTTAATGTTTATAAATCAAGGACTCAATTAATCATTAAAAAAAATGTTATGACGTCATCTGAAAAATATTTATTTAAGGATTATGAAACGATCACAACATTTAACACATTTTTCTAATCGAAATCATTTTGATTGTTGAAATGACCTAAATACTTTGTATATTAACGGTTTCAATTTGATAATAAACGACTTTAATGATCCCGTTATTAACTGGATCAATTAAGATGAAATGGTTGGATATAAAAAAAAACCTAACTTGTTAAAAATGTAATTCTTCGTTGCATTTTCTCCAAATGGAAAATCGGTGTGACGTTAATGCGCATGCTCTTGGATTCGCTGAGGTGCATGATCGATATGAAATTGTTCCGTTTACTAGCTATTTTTGGCGAAACTTGAACCTAAAACCAACTTTAACATTTCTTTTAACGCGTTTTATTAGGAATATATTTTTTTGCATTTAATTTTGTATCAAAATATGAAAAATCAATAAAATGTCACGTAACTGTCACTGTCAAAATTTTTTTGTATTAAAAACATCACCATAGCAACCACCTTTTATTAGTATACTTTTTTCACCAGTTATTATAATTGAGGTTATGTTTATTCGTCTAAGGCCCACTTTTACCACCTCTTGATAAATTTATCCGATAGATAAATCCAACTCTTAGCCAATGAGAGCGCTTAAAACCGCCGTAACCATGGCAACTATCCTCTAGATGGTTTATCAGGAGGATGGTAAAAGTGGGCATAAGCAATTCAAATTTATTAAACAATTCTTGATGTGATTTGTTAACATGGCTTGACATGGGGTGGTTGACACTTGGGTGGACATAGTGACTTACAGTTATTTTGGCGCTTCAAAATTTAGATCTTCCGATAAGCCAATCAGAAAGCAATCCAACCCAACTCGAAAGAACTCATCTCAAAAGCAACCCAACCCAACTAAAACGCAACCCATTAATCTATTCGTGAGTACGGACAAATTCCCGATATATTCCTTTTTGATTAATAAGATAATATTAAGTTTATACACTTTGAGGCTTTTCATCAAAGTTTCTGAACCGTTTATAATCTGTCTCCACAAATTGATCCTGAACGATCGAAGAGAGAAGAGCTCGAGAGTAGAATTTGAAGAAGTGTCAGGTCCTCAGAGAAATACCTCATCATTTGCTGGGTTAATTTTCAAAATCAAACTGCGTTTTTCCAAGGAGTTAAAGAACAAGTCTGTATTTTTCTACGAAAGCAGACTCAATAGCAACGGCTTACGGCTTAGTTAATAAGCATCATATCAGTCAATATAGGACGCCCCTTTTTTCATCTCTGCAGCTATTTCTGACTGATTCAAGTTTACTCGTTTTGATGGATCTTCAATACGATCTCATTCATTATTCATCAGATGCAAGACAAATATTAAATAAAAATTATTACAATAAGTGGTGATTTTATAAATTATTCTGTTAGATCTCCATATTTACCATGTATTGATTTCTTTCTATGAACCTAAATATCCGTTGGTACTTTTACAATTCTTCTAGTTGCTAATAATAACACTTTATATACAAAGAGGTCTTGCTTAACTAAAAATACTTAACTTCACTTTGTATTACAATTATAATATCTCAAAAACAAAGTTTTTGGAGTTTTCTGGCAACTTTGCAAACTATTAGTCATTTCAAAAAAAGACATTTTCACATGATGGCCCAGTAAATAACAAATTTACTGCTTTTGGCGTTCTTTGCGTCACACCTGTATTCCAAACTTTCTGTCCACTGCCACTGCCCAAAATAATTGTATAGTTTGTAAGTAGTCAGTCTTCTCAGATTCCGATTTTGAATTATTGCTAGCAAAATATTTGGCTCCAAATTAGCATTTTCTTCTTCATTGTTGGCTTTCAAGACTTACAAGGATTGTGGTTTGTTGTGGTAAACGTGAGATTTCAAAAAGTCACAAAGAAAGAAGTTTTACGGTGATGTCATTGGCGCCAAAAAAGGAAAAAATAGGGCCAAACTTTTTGCCCCAGGTTTAACGGAGCATCGTGTATCCCTGCATTACTTGTTGTCAATTTTCTTGTCAATATCATAAATGTCAGGATAATTTTTGACACCATTTGTATAAAATTATGACATTACTTTTGCCCAACCTAGTATTTGGTCCTGTTGTCCATAAAGCAAGGTTGCTCAAATACTTATAGTCCGTGATCTATCTTTCCTGGAGCGCTAAAGTCGTGCTTTAGAGATGTTTCAATGTGGTGTATTTTTTTTGACAGATTAAATTACTAAGCCTATTTATCACAATAAAAGAGTACTTATACTTCTCGTACTAATTGTTATCTTTTTCTATTTTAGGAAAAATTTTATTATTTTACATTCTATTTTACGCGGCTTTAATTGGATTCTTCGCCGCAATGTTAACGGTATTTTACCAAACCTTGGATTCGAAAAAACCGAAATGGCAACTAGACGAGTCATTAATCGGTAGTAACCCGGGATTAGGATTTAGACCAATGCCACCGGACAGTAACGTCGAAAGTACATTGATCTGGTATAAAGTGAGCGACAACAAAAGCGTGTCTCATTGGACTAACGAATTAGAAGAGTTTTTAAAAGTCTATCAAGATCAAACGCACGCCGTCGAATGTAATGGAAATCGAAAACCGGAAGAGGGTAAAGTGTGCAAGGTCGAATTCAACATCGATCCGTGCATCCCGTCCAAGAAATATAATTTTAACAGTTACCAAGGCGGGCCGTGCATCTTTTTAAAATTGAATAAAATTTACAATTGGGAACCCGATTATTATTCTAGTACTGATTTACCGAAAAATATGCCTGATGATTTAAAAAAGCATATCGAAACACAAGCTAATACAGAAAATGTAATACAACTTATTTTTTAAAAAATGTTTGTCTTATTTATTAATTTTTATAGAATCAAACAGTTTGGATATCTTGCGAAGGTGAAAATCCGTCAGATAATGAAAATATCGGCTCAATACAATATAAACCAGGACGAGGTTTCGGAAGCCAGTATTTTCCATTTAAAAATGTTGAAGGTTATTTAAGTCCTTTAGTAGCAGTTTATTTCGAAAAACCAACACGTAATTTGCAACAACTTGTAATTTAAAAGTGTCTTAATTTAAAATGTTATTTTAGGTGGTGTTTTAATAAATATTGAATGTAAAGCTTGGGCGAAAAACATACATCACGATCGCGTGGATAAAAGAGGATCCGTTCATTTCGAATTAATGATCGATAACTAGTCTCCAAAAATCCAAAAAATAAGAGCCAAGTGAGCTACTGCCATCTAAAAAATCCTAAAAAAATAATACAGGAGCAATACACAATACACTTAAAAAATAAAATGGGAAAATCAACCATAAAAAACCAGAAAAAAAAAATACAACGTTACCATAAAAATTTCTTTGCGTTTTTTGATCTGATGGAAGAAGATAATTTTAAAAATATTAAAAAAACAACCCATGGTAGTAGATGAAAAAGATCGCAATGATCTTAGTTCTAGGATTAGTTTTTCGAATTTTCAACGAGGCGTTTCTTGAACTTGATGAATTAGTGATCGGCTTCAGTACCAAAACTATAAAATTTAACAAGAAAAGTGAATAAATAATACAAAAAAATTAAAATAAGTAAGAACCTTCGTAGAGAACCAGCTCAAGAGAGTGGACGATTTAATTTCCATTCGATCTCGCCAATTTTAGCGAAAATATCACAGATAATAAAATAAATGGTAAAAAAACCAAACATTGTTAATGGGACTATGTACTAAATCTAAAAATTTGTACGTGCTATTTAAAGCCCGTACATTTTTTGTCGTGTGATAGATAAAAAATAACTATTGTATCGAAAAAAAAAAAAAAAATCGGACGTAAAAATGTTTTTTTAGGTTCTAGTTTGTAAATATGTTTTCTTATGCGAGATAATTTGATAGATTTTTAAAAATAAGCAAAAATAGATTTTTATTCGCTTTCATTTTGCTATGATTCTTATTTCTTTTATAACACACAGTAAAACATCTGGTGATGATCACAGCAAAGGAAAAAAGAACCACAGGCGCTAAAATAGACATCTAAATCAGCACAATGCATAAAAAGTAAATACAAAATATAAAAAAATAAAAATAAATTAAAATGTTTTACTGCATGTTGTCAAAATGTTTAAAACAACACTTAAAAACAACTACATACTGTTAAAGCTATAGTAAATTAATAAAAAAAAAGAAAAAATTGTTAATAGATATTAAATTAACTAAGTGTTATCTGTCATACATATAGTTTAGTAAGAATAACTATTACGAAGTATCAAAAAAGAGGAAAAGATTCATTCAAGTAAAATTTAATCCAACATCTTAAAAAAAAACAGTAGAGGATTTAATTTTTTTATTTATGTCATTTACGCTAAAGCAGGATCGAACAAGTAGTGTATCACCAATGAAAAAAAAATTAATAATAAATAAACGAATCTCCCGTATAATAAAAATTAATTATAACAATTATGGATAAAAAAACATAAAAAACATGATAAAAGTATAAATTTTCGTGTGGTCTACAGGTCATTAGATAAAAAATATCTATGTTCTTGATTCTATTATTGTGTGCAGATGCGCGTCGCGCGTACAACAAATTATTTCATGTATGCTTAACGTAAAAGGTTTTTTAAAAAATAAAACTTACAAACAATAATGGTGGAGTAATTATTAAATACCCTATCTCTCAAATATTTTTATTGGGACATAGAATTTAAACCCGAAAACCTTTTTAGTTCCAAGACTTGGTGTAACTATTATTGTGACTAAATATTCGCAAAAAGATTTATAATACAAAAGACTTTCGTTAATGTCGGTAACCTAACCTATAAGTTCAAAGCGATGACAGAAATTAAAAAATGTCATTTAAATCATAGTTTACTTAAACGTATTAATAATAGATGGCATGCAATTAAATTATTTTTAAATAAATTTCATATTTAAATCAAAATATATATGTTTGAATATTGATTTAAAATAATTAAAATATAGATAAAAAGAAAATCAAAATGTTTGAAATTTATTAAATTTAAATATTCTTCCTATTAATATCAACACTACCAATTTATAAAAAAAAAGAAATCTTCCAAACACATGCAGTTTAATTATAACAATTTTATTATTATCTTATCACAAATATACGTAATTAACCATATAATAAATAAACAAATCGAACAAAGAACATTAAACAAATAATCACAAAAAATTTAATCAACCATGAGTAAGAGAAGAAACCAGGGTTTCCAAACACTTCATTATTTAAAATTTTTATATTAAAATTTAAATAATCATTTAATTAATTTTTGTATTCAAAACAAAAAGAATTTCATTCAAATCTAAAAAAAAATCTTCATCAATCTTTTTTTAAAATTTATAATTATTTTTTAAACTGTTTGGGAATTTTAGTTTTACAACCAAACCAGCCTTTAAAGCGACTTCAACGCATGCGCGATCGTGATCTTGTTCGACATTAAACTGTCAGATGTGCATAAGCAAAAACAATAGTAGTTCATATTAGAGAAACGTCGGGTTCGCTTGAAAAACAACAATCCGAGAATATGTTTGCAATGAAAACTCCAATCCTGTTCCTATTTTTGGGCCTTGCAGCGATATGTATCGCCGACACAGGTTAGTTATTAAAATATGGTTTCCAACCGGAAAAGTCACCTTCTAGAAAAGCAATATGTATACGGGTCACGTGACTCGATGCTTTGTTGAATCGTTTTCATTCCGATAACACTTCGTTATCAATATTTTTATTTGATATCATAGCGTATTGAATTTCTTCGCGTGTTAATGTTAAATTGGAATAGTGATAACGAAAATGAGTGGGATGTGATGATTAAGTAGAATTAAAGTTAAATAACATTGTTTTTTTGTTGTATTTTTCCATTGCTTTGTTCGATTTTTTTGTGTGTTTATAGGAAGCAAATATCTCTTTTTTTATTACTTAACATTAATTTTGTATTTTCTTGCAAGTTGTGTTTTGATATTTTTTTAGTAATTAAATTATTATTTGGTTGGTATCGGTTGTTGTCAAACGTCATTTTTCCCTTAAATAGTGATTTTCAACACAATACTTATATAAATAACATTTTAGATATGTCGAGTTTATCTCCGACTTTTTTATCATTGCACAAATTTGTTTTTGATATTTTTGTACGGATTTTGTAGATTTGAGTAATACATAATCACGGAAGAATTTTTTTTGACATTTCTTTTTTATTGGTCCTTTTTGTTGAATTGATAGATAACTTCATTGTGGATCAAATGTCTTTATGTCCCCGTATTATTGTTAAATTTTGAAATGGTGATTAAATAATATTGAAATTGTTATATAACAAAGATTTTCGAACGATTCTTAGAATCAGACTAAAATAAATGCGTAATATAAAATGATTACATTACAAAATCAAAATAGGTTATAGGAATGAAATGAAATTAGCAGTTTAACACTTTAAAGATAACATTGACGAAGAATTATAAAAAAAAGGAAATGAAATAATTAAATAAATAAAAATTAAATAAACAAGGTATAAAGTCCACGAAAATATGTTCTAATATCAGCGGTTTAAGGTTTCTTAAAATAAGCATGACCTAACAAAATGGTATGACCTTGAAAATGACAGCTCAAAAAATCTAATTGTCAAATAAATAAGAAATTGATTAAGTTATGTTTAATTATTGTGTAAATGAATAAAATTGGAGTTGAAGTGATGATAAAAATGATGTTAGAGATTTACGGAGTAATAGTACCCACTAAAAACAATTATTTATATAGCTAATGTAATAATATGTATGTGTTAATCATGGTTTCGGCACAATAATCTGCAAATTTGATATATGTGAATCACATTGATTTGTTTCTAATGAGTCATGACTTATGACAGTATCATAATTCTTGGAGAGATTTTTAAATAATCTAACAAAGCAGGAAGAGGAGTTGTTTCTGAAAATACAAGGATGTTCTGGATTTGTATGATGTTTGTGTACATTGAAAATGCTCATTATTGAGTATTTAGAATACCATACAAGCTACGTTGTTGAGAGAGCCTTTGCTTTAGTGCTTTGGATGATTCGGATGTTTATAGTTTGAATTCAATTTAAGATTAGAAAATAAAATGTTATTTGGGTTAGCTTTGCATTAGTTTTAATGCAGTATGAAGCTACTGTGATGAAAGGATGGAACCACACAAAGGAGAATGGACGACAAAATGCATTGGAATTTATGAGAGATATGAAGTAAATTTAAACAATTTATTGGATTCACTTTTAGTTATGTATTCATAAATACTGTATGTAAATAATTCAAGTATTGATTCACCTCCGTCAGTGTTGAATTTAATTCATTTACTAATACAAATCATTTTTTTGATGCAGATATTGATGCTGCATTAAGTACCTATAGTGTTTTATGACAACCTTGTAATATTTCCTGTGAGGTGTGACCCCTTCATCATATGAAGGTGGTTGAAAGATTTTCCAAAACTTTTTTGATAAAATTGATTTTGTTAAGCATCACAAAAAGTTATAAAACAGGTTACATCACTTTTTGTTATTAAAAACCTAATTATTCGTTTTTTTTTAGTTGAATCAACTGTCAAGATTAACCCAGAGCCACCAGTTACATCAACAACAAATAAACCAACAACTAAAACAACAACAACGTCCACAACTCAATCGACTTCAACCTCTACAACTTCCACAACTACGCCACCTACTACAACAACCCCAACACCATCTCCTAAAACAACATCAACGACGCCTGCTCCAACAACAACCCCAACAACAGCAGCCCCTGTAACAACCCCAACTACAGCAGCCCCTGTAACAACACCTAAACCAGTTCCTTGGGAAGCAGGTACTTGGGAAGTACTAAATGGGGATAACACGACATGTATATTGCTGCATATGAAGGGGGCGATTGATCTTTATTTTACGGATGGTAATCAAACGAATGTCGAGCAGATTCAAATTCCAAGCAAAGCGGCTGCTAATGGAACTTGCTCCAAACTTGAACAAAAAATTGTTTTATCCTGGATGTTTAATGATACGCTAAATGACACCATTGAGATTGTTTTTAAGAAGAACGAAACTGCAAACAAATTCGATTTGGAAACTATTAATATGCATGTGTTTGTTACTGAGAAAAGTATGTTATTGTTCTTCTTTATCAATCGTTTTAATTCAATATTTCTTTTTAGATTCAACGCAATCGTTGACGTTCAGTCGTGAAAGAGAAGAATTTGAAACACCGGTCGCGATGTCTTATAAATGTGAAAAAATTCAATTGTTAAATTTCACTGATACGGCAACCAATGAAACTGTAGCTTCTTTGATGATTAGTAACGTACAGTTTCAAGCTTTTGCTAATCTTAAAGATCATACATTTGCATCAGGTAATTAAAATTAAATAGTAAAATTAAAAAGTAAAACTTTGATATAATAATGGATTTTAAATATAACTCTGACTGTAAGTCATGGTACAATTTTAATCACAAATAGTTTTGGTCTAAACCCATGAATGTCTCGGATATGGGCCTTAAAACATAAGAAATTTTTAAATATTTTCGATTATTGTGTGTTTTAGAAACATAAAATTTGGCCAATAGTGCAATGTTATTATGAGAAATCTTTTGAAAATGTGCAACCACACAGGATCAATGCTATACAGAGTGTTCACAAAGGTTATTTCCTTAAAACATTTTTATTATGACATAAACTTTTAAATTTTCCAACTGATTCTAAAAGCTCATTTCATTTTAAAATTTTTTTCACTATTTTAAATTTTGATTAAAACATTGGCACTGACCTGAAGTTTATAATTTTCATAAATTTGTACAATGTTGAACGACTCATCTGTGGTAAATCATGTTGTTTCATTTCAGTCAATACTTTATCAATCGATTCAAGGGTAGAAAGTTCATTTTTATGAAAAAAATCTGGTTTAATTGTCTTATCAAATTCTTGACATTCAGATAGCAATGAATGAGTGTCTTCCAGAACTTTGCTTAGGTGGAATAACTTGTCCCTTCTCCTTATATTCTTTTATAGTGCGATAATAGTAGACTGCGCCACTCCTAAAAAGAAAATAACATTATATGTACTTATTGATGGCGGTGTCTTTATTTATCATACTTGTTATTCTTGCGACAATAGCATTGATTCGCATTGTGGGGTTGTCTGCTGAAAGTTTTTTGAACATATTTAATATATTCTGCTTCTCAATCACAATTAAATGTTCCATCTCAAGTTAGGACATCTATCAATGACCATACCTCCACAGGATGCTGTATTGTAGGTGGTTCAGGTATAGAATTTGGTTTTCCCTTTCCACAATTAGCTAAAGCTGCTGAAATTTCCAATCTCAACTGCTTCAGTGGCATTAATTAAAAAAAATAAATAAAAGATAAGGAAATATTGAAAAATACCAACGTTTTGCCTTGTGGGGCGTTTTATAAAGACCCATAAAAGCATTGGCTGTATCAACGCTACCCATGTATTTATTGTATTCCTTTACTATGGTAGGACAAGTTATATCTATCTTCGCTTTAGCCTCTTTACAGCGCTTGAAGCACTAACGAAATGTCAACTTTAATTTTATTTTTATATTGGTAATCTTCATAAAATAACCTTTAAAGCGAGTCCAAACAAGACGCATTTATCTCAAAAAACCAAAAAGTTCGAACATTTAACTTTTAATTTTGACATATTTGTCAACTTCATAAAAAATCCTTTAAAATGAGCCCAAACTCGACATATTTAACTTTGATATTAATGGAGATACAATCACTTCCGGTTTGAAACGTCAACGTCAATTTTGACATATTTGTCATCTTCATTAAAAAACCTTTAAAATGAGTCCAAACATGACGCGCTTATCACAAAAAACAAAAAAGTTAGAATGAAAAACATTAAACCCGAAGTTAGCAACAATGAAGATAGCAATTTAATTTTTAAATATTAATACCAACCTTAATTTTTGATTTTTTTTTATTATATTTTTGTTTTTGTGACAAATATTAAGAATATGTCAAAATGACATGGACATTTCAAACCGGAAGTTGCTTGTATCTCGAGTAATATCGGTATTAAACGTATCATGTTTGGACTCATTTTAAAGGATTTTTGACGACGATTACAAATATGTCAAAATTGACGTTGACATTCTTAACCGGAAGTTGACCATAACTTCATTAATATTGAAGATAAATATGTCGTGTTTGTACTCATTTTAAAGGATTTTTAATATAGATTACAAATATGTCAAAATTGAGGTTGACATTTTAAACTTGAAGTTAGTTATCATATAATAGAGGTTTTATAACTGAAGTTAATCTAATGTTAGTCACTTTTCCGCACTTTCTTTTTATTTTTAACGTGTTTTTTGATCATTTCATCGATTAAATTCTTGAATTTTAACCTGCAAATTTGTAACACCTTGTCCTTAATTTCATTTTACAACCTTTTAAACTTTAATTTTGTAAATTAGTAACTAATAATCTGATTTTCGACTTTTTTAACAAAAGAAAAAGAAATATTAAGAAACTTGTTTGTAAAATGGACAGTATAAGGGATATTAATCTATTTGTAGAGTCTCTGAAGGTGGCCAAGGGCCGAAACTGGTTAGACTTAACTTCTATATAAATAAAAACCAGTTTAAAAGTACAAAATCAAACTCTAGATAATTTTCTTTCAACATTTTTACGTGAAACATCATTTTGACTCAAGTATTTGTGATTAAATTTATGCCATGACTTACAGAAACACTCTGTATAATTCTAAAACGACTGACCAAGCGGATTCTGTGCTTGTGATGGCTGTCATCAGTATTCTGTGATAAAAATAGACAGGCATCAAGCAATTTTCAATACTGTCTATTCTGAGAAGTCTTATATTTTTAGAGAGATGAAAACGAAATTCTTATATATTTTTCATTGAACTAATAGTAGAACTAACACTAGACTTAGAAAGTTTTGGGTTTATCCATACATCTATAGAATTATTAATTAATATTTTTTTTATTTTATAGCAAAGGATTGTGAACCATACGAAACTCCAGATATAGTTCCAATTGCAGTTGGATGTGCCTTGATAGCATTGATAGTATTCATTTTAATTGGATATTTGGTTGGAAGAAGGAGAAATCAAACCCGCGGTTATTTATCAATGTGAGTTTAAAAAAGAAAGATCGAAAGGAAATTGTTATCGTGATTGTTTATTATTTTTTTTATTTGAGAGAGAGAATGTTTTTGCTTTATTTCTTGCTTTAAAATCAGATTAATTTTTAATAAATATAAATAAATAAAATTAAAAAAAAATCTCGAATAAGTTGAGAATTAATCTGAATTTTGTTTGTGCAATTATTATTTGGAGCGAGATTTGTGTGATAGTGATGGTTAATATTCGGTATTTCTCGTTTATTTTTTGTATGTTTTAGTCTGCTTTAGAAACAAATAAATTGGGTGACGTGTAAATGTTAATTTTTTATCAAATTGTGAGATAAATAATTTTGTGTAAATGATTTTTTAGGGTCGAAGAATAAAATTAATACCGAATTTTAACTAAAAACTACAAAAGTTACTCACTAGTCACAAAAAAAAATTAATGCATTTCTTTTAATTAAATAATTTCTCTCAAACAAAGAAAAAATAACAAAAAAAAATTAAAAACAATTCTGTTGTAGTTTTTTACATCCCCATCTTATTCTTTTGTTGTTTAAAGTAGTTTTCTTTTGTCGTTTTTTTTTGTATTTCCTTTAATTCTTGTCTAATAATTATAAACTACATTTTATAAAGGAGCTTAAAGAGTTAGAAATAAAAACTGCAATAGTTTTGAAAAAAATTATCTATGTGATAAACTTAAATTGAGTTAAATTTGATTTAATTTAACACATGGAGTTAAAAAAAATTGTAAAAGATCAGTTTAACAAATCTGATCTTTATTAAGGTTAGGAAATTGATCACGTCTTACAGAGCGATCAATTTATGGTACTATATTAATCTAGTAGTGTTTAATTTAGTGGACAATCCAGCCTTCATGTTGTCGTTTTGAAAAATATAAAAACAATTTTCTCTCTTTATCTTTCTTCCTGTTTTCGGGGACAAATTTATAAATGCAGGCTGTGATTGGTATAGTTTAAACTAAAAAAATTGTCTTTTTTTGTTACTGTGTAAAAGAAAATTACTTTGAATAAACATTTCTGAGCCACATTTTATTTTTCTTTTAATTTCAAATTATCCTAATCCCATAAACATTTATTTTCCCAATAAATATCTTATTAAATTAAACACTTTATTTTTTTATTATTTCTTTTTAGGTTTACACAAACAAAAAAAGAAGAAGACTACATACCGATGAAAAATCTTTCTTGCTTTCAATAATTGAACAAAAATTTTTTTAGTAGTTTAAGCTTTTTTGATCGTTTCAAGTTTTATGCAAAAAAAAGTTGACTAGTCTTTGTGAAACCAAGAACTTTGTTAGATGATTTGGATTCGAAATGCAGATCCTAACCGAATATTGTGATAAATTAGAAGTTAACAAGTTACTTCAAATGAGTAACTTAAATATTTTGTAGGATCGTCTCGAGAGACGATGTGTGATTAATTCATTCATTTAATCGAAAATTACGCTCGAATTGAATTTCATTGCATCTCTCTTTCTTAAAGAGAATTACTTAACGTTTCGTTTATTATTCAATGTAAGTTGTTTCATTACTTTTAGATTTAAAGATAACCAAGTGAATGTATTGTTTAGTTTATTAAAATAATATGGATTTATTTGTAAAATCTTTTTTACTTAATTAAAATATTGCACTTTATATAAATCTTATTACTTAACCATTCCAACCTAAATATATCTTAAGTATGAAGGCTTTCACAGTAGGTAACAGAAACTTTCTAGTCTAGGTCTAGTGTTAATTCTAGTTTTAATTGTGATTCAGTGCTAGACGACTAAACCCGAATGTTTCTAGTTCTAGGTCTAGTGTTACTTCTTGTTTTACACTAGAACTTCTCATTCGGGTTCGTCGGAATCTCTTAAGATGGTTAAATCCAAAGATTTCTAAGTCTAGAGTTAGTTCTAGTGATGGTATTAGTTTTAACACTATTCCTTATTTTTTAACTATTAAAATACTTAATTTAAATATAATTAAAAATGATTAACAGCGTCATCTATCGTATTGCATTAGAAGGAAAAGCCACCTACAATCGGCGTTGCCAACCCTACCGATTTATCGGTAGATCTACCGATATAGATACGACTTAATCTACCGATTTTCAAAATTTATAAATAAAAGTATATACCAACGATATGGCAATGTCGCTCGAGCAACGTTGCCAAATCGGTAGTATATACAGTACGCGTCATAAGTAAACCCCCTGCCTAATTTGAAAACGGTTCAAAATATAATATTGTCAAAATAGATATTGACGCATCTAAGACCAAAAGTGCAAGAGAGCAATATCGTTAACAATAAAATTGGCAACAATTTTTGTTATAAAAGTTTTTTTATAGCAAGCTCCGATTCCCAAGTGTTACCTTTAATAACTTGAAAAAGCAACAAATTCATAAAATTTTCATATTTTCGTATCTATCTCGATATTGACGCATCTAAGAGCAAAAGTGCAAGAGAGCAATATTGTTAACAATAAAATTTGCAACAATTTTTGTTATAAAAGTTTTCTTATAGCAAGCTCCGATTCCCAAGTGTTACCTTTAATAACTTGAAAGAGCAACAAATTAACCGCACGAGAATCGTATAATGTTCTGATGCGGAAGATATGCAACATTCTGTATATGTATATAAATTCATTTATAAACTTTTATCAAACAACATTTTCTGACTTTGTATTTAAACCTACCGATTTTTTACCATTGATTCTACCGACATTTGCTCGGTATAGGTTGGCAACACTGCCTACAAATCACTTTATAAATTACAATCTGTCAAAAGTGTCAATATTTTGTGTTAGAAATATTTTTTCCATTAAATTATTAAATATATATTCTAAAAATGAAGCCAGCACTTGTAGCTGATGAAATGTTCCCCGAAGGAGCTGGGCCATACATGGATTTAGAAGAGGTTGGTTTAAAAAGAAATTATTAACATAACCTCACTTTTATCTTCTCTATTTTGTTGTCTTTTAGGCCGGAGGATCAACAGGTTTATTAATGGATTTAGCAGCTAATGAAAAAGCTGTCCATTCTGATTTCTTCAACGGTAAGATAAATCAAATTAAAATATCAAAAATAATTTGATTTTTATGTAGATTTTGAAGATTTGTACGATGACGAAGATTTAAGTTAAAACGCAAGAATTTGAATATTTTTATAGAATTTTTTTATTAGTTGAATGAGAACATTTTGGTTACAATTATAATTTATTGTTGAAGTGGTTCCAGTACCAAATTTAGTTTTTTTTTCAAATACAATCACAGTTCCAGTTTCCAAAAGTAATTTTGTTTTTTTAATTGTACTACAAATTTGTTTTCTTTTTCACCTTTTCATTTAAATTCTTAAGTGGCGCAATTTTAATAAAGAAATCCCAAAAGAAGACTAAAATAATTGGAAAATAAAAAGAATTAATGCACTGATATTTTCTTTTTTTGTTTATAAACAGATTATTGTGCATCATTTGGCCTACTTTAATAATAATTAAAAATTGAAAACGCGTTTTCCATCTTCTTACACGCTAGGATTTGTACAATGATTATAATTATGGCTTAGTTTTTTTTTAATAAATCAAAAATGTAAATGAAAAAAAAAATAAAACAATTATGTAAATCTTTTAAAATATACAAACTTAAATATTAACCTTAACTTTATAAAAAGAATCTAAATAAACTAATGAATATATTTACATTTCCTTTTTTAATAAAACATAAATGGAATATTATTTCTCATCCAAACAAAGTAAAAATCGAAAAGAAAAAACAAAACTTTTCTTTTGGTCCTTAAAACAAACAAATTACATCTTTTCTGTTTTTTATATTTTCATATACAAGCACTTATTATCACCTTATTATATAAAATTGGGCAATTTTTTCACATTCCATACTTTTTTGTTTTATTCTTTTTAAATGGTGTACAAAATACTCATCGCTATGTATATCTATATATATTATGTATATATAACGTTTAGAAAAAGTATATACAATCATAACAAACAGAATCTTCCAATATTTTGAGCAGTGACAATACTTTAAACGTGCGTTAAAACCGAAATAAACGCACGTTTTAAATATCAACACTTTTTTATTTTATACAACTTAAAGAAATCTTGAAAAAAATCAAAATAAAACTGAAAATATATATAAAAAGAAACGAAAAAATGGGATAATAGAAGCTGAAAACCTTTTTCGTTTCCTTATTAACGCTTAGTTATTATTTTTTTAATTGAGTGACTTTTTTGGATCAAATCAAAACAACAATAAAATAACTAGGTATGTTTTTTTCTGTACTTCTGGACATGTTAAGTGACAAAAAGTGGACTGATATTTTTGAGGCCATCGTCCATTCTCCATCCGGTTGCTACTAGTTAATATCACTGGACATGTCCGAGTCATCTTCGTCAGAATGATGGGTGCTCGGAGAGAACGCGTCCAAACTAGACGATTGACGTGAATTATCTTCGTCAAGGTGAGCTTCAACAAATTCTTCCGCACTGAATGTTATATTACTCGGACCAGCCGAAAGGTCATCAATGTTTTCAAAATATCCTTTATTTGAAGCTAGTTCTAAAAAAAAAATTATAATTAACAAAAAATTAAAACATTTTACTTAAAATGCAATATACAAAAATATATTTCCATAGAAATCAGGGCAAATTAAGACTTTCCATTACTTCTACTCTCTTATAATGTTGAGAGAATATGAAAATTAGTAGAATTCGCTTCATAAGTTATTAATGAAAAACTTTTCAAACAAAAATTGTAGAAAATTTTACTCTTAACACACTGCTTTCCATTACTTTCGCTCTCTGATGCTTCAATGTTGAGAAAATATGAAAATTAGTAGAATTCGCTGTTTCGCAAGTTAAAGTAAAGACAAATCTAAATGTGCTTGCGATGAAAATCTTAAAGAAATAGCTTTCTTGAAAGAAAGGCTAGCAGTTATAAACCCTCGAATGTTTGATATGACTCAGGAGGATTCAACCTATCAAAACAATAAAACTGATAATGTATCACTGAACGCAAATGAGTTGAATTATTTCTTTACAAACACCCCTCTTGACATAGTTAAGAATTTACCAACTCCTAAACATGACCCTGTACGCATCTGTGACGTTCTGGTTATGCCTAAATGTAAATTGAGTTTGTTGTCACTCAAGTTGAGGTTCGTGATATAATAAACACATTAAAGTGTGGCCTTGCAATGGACTGCTTTGAATTCTCTGTCAATTTTATAAAGAGAACTATCAACCTATACAGGGTGTCTCAGCGAGACCGGTCATTAGACGTTTCTGGGGTTCTGGCGAAAATAAAAATTTGAGAATTCAGACTTAAATATTGTCAATTACGATCTCTTCGACTAAAATATTTTCAGATTTCTTGCACTTCCGGTTATACCGGAAGTCGCCACCAACTTTATTTTTTTAAATGGAACCTGTATATTTTTACATATTTGAATTTGTTTGTTTTCAAGGTTTATAAATAACTTTACTTTTTGCAATTTGATTCGGTTGTTCTTGAGTTATTCGAATTTTTCTAGAAAAATCTGCTCCAGCAGACATTTGTTCAAAAAATCAGAAAACACTCAATTTTTGGGATATCAATTTAGGATTGAGAACATGCTTAAGCAACATGATGGTGTATGTTTTGGTGCCGAGAACTGCGGTCTAGAACGTTTGATCACTTTACTATGGCACGTTAACTTTTCAAAATTTGGAAGTACCATAACTTCATTTTTTTAAATGGCAGCTGTTCCAGATTGCGTTAGCTATAATAAGTATATATTTGTAATATGGAATTGATAATAGAAAAACTATGGTCACAGCAATCAACTAGACATTTCGGCGGCCAAACCTATTTTTAGNGGTGTTCCATTTAAAAAAATAAAGTAGGTGGCGACTTCCGGTATAACCGGAAGTGTTAGAAATCTGAAAATATTTTAGATGAAGAGAACGTAATTGATAATACTTAAGTCTGCATTTTCAAATTTTTTGTTTGGCCAGAACCCCAGAAACGTCTAATGACCGGTCTCGCTGAGACACCCTGTATATCTCTCCATTAACTAAATTTATAAATTGTTCTCTAAAGCAAGGCAGATTTCCGGATCTTCTGAAGTGTGCATTGGTAATTCAGGTCTTTAAACATGGTATTAAAGAAGATATCAAAAATTACTGTCCCATAAACATCCTGCCAGTGTTTTTTAAAGTCATCATTTCAAGTATGCAACCAATATCACAGTATTGGTATTGCATATATGCGATTTGCGATATTGGTTGCATACTTGCAATGATGACGTCGGGTACAATAATTAATTAACACAGTGTATATGAAATGATTATTTATAATAGGATCACAGATTACCTGGAGGGGCGAAATATGTTACATCTTTTTAAATCACATTGAAAAAACTGAAATAATGAACGATAAAAATCCTTTACAAGATATGTTGACAATGTTTTTTCAATTTGGGAGGGGAGTAAAGAATCGCTTCATGAATTTTTGATCTATTTGAACAACATCCAACCTTGATTACGATATTTATAGGACGCCAACAATGATACCCACAACCATATACTACAATTCTGCACATTCAATGAATCAAAACTTTCAAACTTTAGATTTTTAATAAATAAGGCAATAACACATCCTTTATCCAAAGAGAACAAGATAAAAGAGTTTAATTACATTAAAACACTGGTATGTCAAAATTGAACAGACAGATCTTTTATATAAAAAACCAGATAAAGAGACAAAGATTTACAAACCCATTCCATACAACATTTCTTACAATGCTAGACATATTTTTGATAAGTATAACATCTCACTCTTTCTCAAATGGGAGAAACTTACTTAACATTTTTTCAAATTATCATGGAGAAAATAAAAAAGACATTTTGAAAGACAATGGAGTTTTTCCAAATTGGAAGTTACATTGGTCAAACAGGGCGAAGACTTGAAACTCGAATTCATGAGCACAAAATTAAAAATAACTCAAAAGTTTTCAACCATGGACTGGAAACAGGACATCTTACATAGATGTAATAAAGGTCTGTAACTCGATTTTTTTGAAATGCTCGAAATTTATAAACATAAATTTAACAATAAGGGCGAATTATTTAACGAACAGTTAGAAATAAAATATAAACCTTTATTTTTGTACTTAAATCATTTAAATCTGTAAATTTTGCGACCAACCTCAATTTTCGACGCGAAGTACTCAACGCTGAATGTTTGTCTTTTAATTATTATTTTAAAGTGTTAATGTATAAGATTGATTGAGATAACCATAAATGTTGTTCTTTTAGTAAAATTTTAACCAAGATAGTTTTACCTTTTTGATAGTAAGTAAGCAATCATATTAATTGAGTTTTTGTATAATTTTTTCTATGTTATGCGTATAGATTTGGCTGAAGATGGGCATTTAACCCGAAACTAGTCCCATATACAGGGCGAGTTATTAGTATCCTGGCGGACGATAGTTGCTAAACCGTTTGAGAAAGAAAAAAATGTTTTATACAAAATTCGTTTGACTCACCATTTTCTATTACATAAAATTATTTTTACTTATACAGGGTGTTCCATTTAGGCGTAACGGAGAGTATGTAGATTTTGTTAAATGGAACACCCTATATATTTTATCATATTATGAATAGCATTAAATTTGTTTATCTACAACTATCTATTCGTTATACATTTGATTTTTGACGGGTAATGACACGCATTACCCATGACTGACAAAGTGTTGAATAATGAAGCCATTATTCCACAGTTCTGACACGGCCTACTAATCAAAAATTAAAATATTTACAGAAATGACAGCTTTCTTATATTGAGGTTATGTCTGAAATGTCTATTAAGTTTATTTTTTTTTCCTTTTTTTTGATTTTTTTTTCAAAATTAAATAGTTGTAGATAAAGTTCCCACTTTATTGCCCACTCAGATTGCAACTTCATCTTCGTGGATAACAGCCGCCATTATACGCTTGTTGAATAATATACTATTATACAACCATATATGTTACTAACTCATAGCGTTCATAGTTCCTGAAATATTCAATTGTTTTTCAAAAATGTGTCCATTACAGGATCTTTTTAAAAACGATGTAAAAACGACATTTTTTCCAATTTTGCCTTCAAACTACGTTAGATAATAGTCAAAGCCAGTAGATAAATGATAGTATCCAAAGATATTAGATACGCTATACAGCGTGTTCATAAAGATTTGATGTTTTTCAAATGAATTTTTCATAAGTTTTTTAAATGGAACAACCTGTATATTGTGTGCTGGTTAAATTGCCCATCGAGTTACCTTTAATTAATGATAAGTATGTCATATATCTAACTTTAGTAGTTTTCCTAATATTTAGGTTTTAAAGAATAATGTGTAATAAAATATGCGTTATTGTACTTAATATTATATTCTGTCTATTTTTATCAGTGTTTTTGTTCTTCCTTATTATTTGATTAATATTTTATAATGTAAAATAATTTTGGTACTTCATGAGATTTAAAAAGATGTAATTAATAAAATATGCAATAATTCTGCCATATAATTTACAACTTTAGAGAAATTTGTATGTTAAGAGATACCTCAATATCTTTTATACAGCTCATTAATGCTTGTAGAAGAGAAAATGGGCGGCATTTTGAACAACTTTTAAATATTAATTAAATTAATACCTACTTGTTTAGTAATTGTTTATAGTTTGTTGCTGCATTTCCTTCAAATAATTTTGTAATTAAAAATGAATTTATTGTTCTGCCATTTAATTGTATTTTAATATAATATTACTGATTTACAAATGACAGATAACAAAAAAAAAGAACAGAATATATTACATTCTGTCACTTTTTTAAGTACAATAATGACATTTTATCACACATTTTTGTTTAATTCTAAATATCAAGAAAACTATTAAAGTTAGACATATGACATACTTATCATTAATTAAAGGGAACTTGATGAGCAATTCAACTAGCATACAATATACAGGGTGTTCCATTTAAAAAACTTAAGAAAAAGCCATTTGAAAAACATCAAAAGTAACGGAGATTTTTAAACGCCTGTATGGTGTATCATCTATCTACTGGATTTGACTATTGTCTGACGTAGATTCAAGACAAAATCAGAAAAAATACCGTTTTTACATCATTTTTAAAAAGATCCTGTAATGGGCACATATATTATTATTAATTGAATATCTCAGGAACTATAAATGCTGGGAAATAGTAACATATTATACGGTTGTAAAAACAGATTTAGTTGTATTCATAATATGTTAAAATATACAGGCTGTTCCATTTAAATAAATTGACGTACGTTACGATTAAATGGAACATCCTATATAAGTGAAAATAATTTTACATTATATTTGTATAAAATATTTTTTTGTTTTTCAAACAATTTAGTAACTATCGACCTTTGGGATACTAATAACTCACCCTGTACATTAATAAATAGCAAGGAAGAAAGTTTTGTAAATGAATTAACTTACGACTTATGTAATCTCTTAAAGCTTTTGGTACCAAAGATTTTAAATATTCCAAATCCTCTTCGGAACATTCGCCTTTATCTAAACCACGAAGTAAACCGATTTCTTTTAATACCTCACAATCGTCGTTCACTTCAAACCGATCGTTAAATTGAAACATGTATTCGGTTCTAAAAAGAAAATAAAATCAACTTCTTATTAATGTTCATAAAAAAACATACTTATCTGGCGAAATACTACAATCAATTACAGTCTTCTTATCTGTATTTAAAACAATAAAAGGCAATTGAATGTAAGAGTTTGGGGCGGGATTCCCATGTTGCTCTTCCAAAGTCTTATTCCTCTGTACCAAGTTTTTAAATGAAACTTGATTCAATAAAAGTTCCCTCAGCTGTTCCCTTTTCTGTTTAATTCGTTGAATTCGTTTCTCTTTTTCGCGTTCGAGTTGCATGCATTCCTGTACTGAATTCGAAGGCAATCCGATCCATCTTATTTCTTTTTTCTCTTTCGAGATAATATTCATCGCCATTAGTACGTTTAGCGCGTCGTAAACTCTTCGTCTGATATTTTTTTGGTCATATTGTTCGGCTAACGCACTTATATCGGAAGTCGTAAACTCCGCGACAAGTTCATCGGCAACCTCGTTATACGACGTGGTACCTTTGTTACGAACTTTCTCGCAAACTTTCATCGAAAAATGTCTTAAACCTTTCCCCACTTTTTCGGTTTTTCGTCGTTTATCCGATAATATTTTTAAGTCGAACGATTCAACGCGTTTCCTCGTTATACAATGATCCAAAATCGGTGGTGAATTATGTTTTGTGGTTTGTTGTACAGGTGTTTGCGGTTGTTGCTGTTGTTTGGTGTTTGCTATTGGGATAGCTTGTAATTGTATAGGCATTGTTGATGTATTTACTTTGAATTGTTGCTAAATATAAAAGAATTTTTTGATTGCTTATTTTCTTTTTGAAAACGAGTTGAGGGAGTACTTACTAATTGTTGAGGTGTTAATCGTATCGTTCTTACTTGGCCATCTGTTGCTTTTGGAAAATTGACTGGTTTTAATAATTTTGTTGAATTAATTGTTTTTACTATAGACTGTCCAGAAGATGTAAACACCTAAGTAAATATTAAAAATTAAAAGGGAATAAAAATGTATAAAATCGTTGAAAATAAAAAAAATAGGTAAAACGATAACCTTATCTATTTTTTTTTTATTTTTAATCGATAAGCTGAATTTTTTCACACATTTTCAACATATTTTTTCTGAATCCACAAATTCCATTACAAAATAACCTCTTTATAAACGACTTTTTTTTCTTATAACGTACACTTGAAGGTCATTGGTGTGTGTGTTAGTTACTCTCCAATGAGGGTACATTAAATTCACAACCAACTGGTGTTTGAACGCTTTCCGCGATAGCTTTGTTGAATGTAAATGTATGCGCAGCGTTCGAAACGTGTTTAAAAAGAATTAAAAAAAATTTTTTGTTGAGTTAATTTGTTGGACGTGTTAACAAAGTAAATATGTTTAAATTTGTTTATTTTAAATAATACATAAAATAGAATTATTAAGAATAACTCCAGATTGTTTAAAAATCGATTTAAACCGACTTTCTTGCACTAGCAATGTTAAAACTAACAAACCGTTTTGTTTATTGATAGAAAACTGGGTAATTTACAAGAATATTAACGAGGCACAACATCAATACCATAATAATTGAAAAGCTGAACAGTTTTTAAAAATATATAATTTAGTTAAGTAAATATCGAGGAGGAACATCGATACTATATAGTATTAGAATACATCCGTCCACAATCAAGTGGTGTATAGCCATGTTGAAAAGTCGGCAGATCACAGCCAGTCTGGGAGGCGAGTCGCTGACTATAAAGGCGCTAAGAGGATGTCCCCAAGGGGGAGTGCTATCACCTCTATTATGGTGCCTGGTAGTTGATGACTTGATGAACACCCTAACTAAAAACGGATTTAAGATACAAGGGTATGCTGATGACCTGGTAATCACAATCCGAGGTAAATATGATTCAATCATAACTCAGCTAATGCAGAAAGCCCTACTACTCACCAGTACTTGGTGCAGAAGCAATGGGCTCAGCATCAATCCCAATAAAATCGAAATAGTCCCTTTCACTCGGAGAAGGAAGCTACAAATAAAAGCACCCTCCATTGAAAGCAGAACTATTAACCTCAAAACAGAAACTAAATACCTAGGGGTAATACTTGACAGTAAACTAAACTGGAACTCACACTTAGATAAGGTGAGGAAAAAGGCCATCATGGCAAACCAGATCTGCCGCAGGCTCCTAGGAAGGAACTGGGGTCTCAAACCACGAATGGCTCATTGGGCCTACGTAGCAATAATCAGACCCATGGTCGCCTACGCCTCATTGGTTTGGTGGCCAAAAACAAAACATAAGACAGCTCAACAACAGCTGGCACAAATCCAGCGGTTAGCATGTCTTAACATAACGGGTGCAATGAGATCCTGTCCGACGGCTGCTTTGGAAGCCCTACTCGGTCTCACACCGCTCCACATATATATACAAAAGGAGGCAGCCTTAAGTGCCTTATCACTGAAAACAGTTTCTTCACTCAAGTTGATGCAGGGTAATCTCAGAGGACACCTCGAGATCCTCAAAGACCCATGTCTAAATCACCTGATTGAAATTAAAACGGACCTTATACCGACGGAATACAATTTCAACCAACCGTATAAGGTCATATTTAGTAGCAGGGATGATTGGGCGAAAGGAGGGCCTCAACTAAAAAGAGGAGCCCTAGCCTGGTACACCGATGCTTCAAAGACAGTAAGATCTGGAGTAGGCATGGGCATCAGTGGACCAAATAGCCACATCAAATTGCCCCTCAGCTCGGACTTAACAATTTTCCAAGCAGAAGTTCTTGCTATAAACTTCTGCACCGCTTTGAACCTACAGAAGGGACAAAAAGGTGCATCCATAAACATTTTCACAGACAGTCGGGCCGCCTTAAAGGCAATTCAGGCCTACACGTGTGGCTCCGCACTGATCAGAGAGTGCACCAACAACCTGAGAGAACTCGCTAGGGGCAATGATGTTACCCTATGGTGGGTTCCAGGTCACAGCAACATTGAGGGCAATGAGAAGGCCGACAAGCTGGCCAAAGAGGCAGCAAACACGCCCTTCATTGGACCCCAACCTGGATGTGGACTACAAAAAAGCCACCTAAAACAAATAATCAACAACTGGGAGGCTTCAAAGATAGCCTTACGCTGGAAAGAACTTCCAGGTCACAGACAAGCGAAGAGTATGATAACTCCGTCGCAAAACAAAACCAAAGAGGTTTTATGCCTCAGCAAAGGGGATCTAAGAACGCTCTCAGGCTACCTAACCGGCCATGTGCCCCTAAAATACCACCTCTTCCACATTGGACAAGCTGAGGATCAAACTTGTCGACTATGCAACGACGAGTCAGAAACTGCTGAACATATACTGTGCAATTGCGTCGCCAGAGGACGTCTAAGGCACAACGTCTTCGGTAAAACTCCCCTGTTACCTACCGACATAAAGGTTCAAGACCTCAGGACAATACTAAGGTTCATTAAGGACCTACATTTGCCCTAAACCTTTGGAGGGCTAAATTAAATTTTTAATTAATGCTTTTCCTTAGGGTTTACATTACTATGATAGTGTATATTATATAGAATTTATGTAGTGAAGATTTCACAAAGCGAGCCTTATTTTATTAGAAATAAAATAAAATTATAAAACTTGGGTTGGAAAGAAGTAAAACAACTTTGCTAAGAAATACGAGTTTTTGATAAGATACATTCGATAAGACCAGTCTTAAACATGCCTCGTGGTGTAGCTGTTTGTAGAACTGTGAAAGAAATGGTTATTAATGATTTTAAAAACCATGTTAAACAATGTGATATCGGTCGCAAATTCTCTTTACACAAATGTGTAGTACAGCGAATTATTAAACAATATAGTGAGATGGAACTTATAGACTTCAAGAAAAAGTCTGGACGTCTCAGAAAAACCAATGGATGCCTTGATAGAATAATTGTAAGAATAGCTAAAAAATATAAATTTTATTCTTCAGCCAAAATTAAGGCTGAGGAGTTGCAAGAAACACACAATTTGGAGGTATCAACACGTACAATACGCAATAAATTAATTGAAAATAAACTATTTGCCCGAAGACCAGCGAAAAACCCACTTCTACCAAAAAAATAAATAAAGCCGCAAGACTACTATTTGCACGCACCCATCAAGAGTGATGAATCCTAGTTTAACTTATTTAAAAGTGATGGAGTGCAATATGTGAGGCGTCCAATAGGAAAAAGGCTGACTTCTAAGTACATGCAGCAAACATTAAAACATGGAGGTGGTTCTGTGATGGTTTGGGGAGGTTTCTCTGGATTTGGTGTAGGCCCTATACACCGTATTATGGAAATAATGACAGATTTATGTACCGTGATATATTAAGAAATGTTATGGAACCTTATGCCGACGAAAAACTGCCTATCTCTTATAAATTTCAACAGGACATCGATCCGAAACGCACATCTAAAGTCGTAAAGGAATAGTTTGAACAAAACAAAATAAATTTGATGACTTGGCCATCACAATCACCAGACTTAAATCCTATAGAAAACCTATGGAAAATAGTTGACGATAAAATTCGAAATAAAATTTACAAAAATGGTGAAAACCATTGACAATTTAATACACTCAATGTCACGAAGGTATCACGATGACATTAATAATAAAGAAGATTGTATTAAGTACTAAAAAATCTTTGCTTTTTATTCAATTGAACTGTTATTTACCTACAAATTGTTAAGTTGTTCTACTTTTTTCCAACTCAACTTTTGCAATTCTGTATAATTTCTATAAAAATAAAGCTATCTTTGTCAAATTTCGGCTACACAATTACTACATAATACATATTGCCATAGTAATGTAAAGCCTGACGAAAAACAAATTTAAAATTTAATATAAAAAAATTAAAAGTTGCTCTACTTTTTTTCAATACTGTATATTGATGAAAAGGTTGAATGGAAACTTGTACAATAAAATATATGGAAGACTTATTATGAATTAGCTAAGCCGAGGTTGTATCGGTGTTAAACCATAATGGTAAAAGCTGAAGTTGTCAAGAATGTGTTATTTAATTAAGTTTTCAATGCCAAAATAAAATCTTTTAGGCTCAAAAGATGACAAGATTTCGTTTGGGGAACTCATATCGATATAGATAATTGTCAGAAGTTAAAGAGATAATCAAAACTTTTCTATCCTCTTTCCAGATTTGCTAGCTTCTTGGTGTTATCTTCCCACCTAATTCGATTTTTCTTTTCTTCTGGTCTCAGTAGCAAAATCGACGTCCTCTACAATGCGTCCAACCTGCCAGAACAGCGAAGTCAACTATATCGAATAGGTCTAAAGTCTGTTCTATTATTGAGATGATCACGCATAAAGTTGGCAACGTTCGACATTAGAACGTTGCCAACTTAAGGTCTCTGCCCACTACACCGTTCCACACTAGGATCGTCATAGGAACGTGTAAAGCCGGATTTATATTTGTCTGACGTGTCGTGTTCTGACGCGTCAGAACGGTTGAATACATTTACTATGATGAGATTTATATTTGTGTGTCGCAATGTGTTATGGTGCCTTGTGTTGTGTCGCATCAGCAGCGATCCCGATGTCCGTCAAAGCAGTGGAGTGGGACAGACAAGTGGTCACGCCAATTGTAAGTCTCGTCAATCAACGATTCAGACATAGCCTAGGGATGGTGCAGAATCTCGAATCTTTAGTTCCAGAACTTCGTAATTTCCAGTCTTCACCCAGCACTTTCTGAATAAGTTACCCTCCATACCTATTCAACTCCAGATGATGCTATTAATCATCAAAAATAGCAGCTTATAGAAATCATCCACTACAGCATTATCATAACACACCACAAGAATTAATGGCCACCATGAAAGATTTCATTAAAATCAAGTTGAGTAGGCTGTTCAAGCAATCATTTCGCTAAATATTAAATTAAAAATTCTTTGGTAAAGCTCAATTTTTGTTTTTATGCCGTCCTTTATCCATGTTAACGTTTTTCTCCAATCGGGAATAATTTTGCGTCACTTTGCAATTTGTGTCCATTGAGCCTTACTACTCCTACTGCCTTTTTGTTGATTGTATCAGTACCAACTTGGCGTAGTTAGTGCTTCTCCAAGTGTTTCCCAAATACTGTGAGCGTTATTATAAAATAACAAGTCGATTTTCAATTTTTATTAACCTCACGTTAATTCACAATATGCCCATATTTCGAGTATTCACTTCTAACATAATACTATGTAATTTACGATTAGATGGAAGTATTATTTAAATACTTACCACTTTACTGTATTATTTCCACGAAAGTAGAGTCAACGCCAATAATTTTGCAGGAGTTTGAGACGGATCAAGAATTAACTAGATATTTTAAAGTACTTGTCAATAGAAATCTCTTCAAAGATAAGTATTAATTCATTTTTATATGTCAACCTTATCTTGGGCCACTTCTAAGATGACAAATTTCAATCACCCTACACACATAGTGGATGTACTTCTTCTATAGGAGATATTCTCACCCTTATCGATATTTCAAAACGAATTTAATTATCCCAAATAGGTGGCAGTCCAAATTGATCCAACTATGATAACTTAACACATGTTGGTGCAAGTTTTTGACTCAAAATAGGTGTTGAGAGTTTCTTTCAACATAGAAGGCGTTTCTGAGAGAAGCCATACTGTACAAATAGAAAGGAAATGTACTTTTCTATGAAAATTAACAGTGGATGATCTGATTTATGAGTTCAATATTAATTATTACTATAGTTGGTAATGCTGGAAATGAAGTATATTAAGAAGTAAGTGCATTGAATTTATCCCCCCCACACGCAGACCTATCATATAAATTTTATATGATGTAATGGACCTCAAGGCTGTATAGTTCATAGTCCTTAAGTAAAAGTAACCAAAAGAAAGCACAAGATGACATTGCATAACAACATTCCAACAAATGAGATCATTATAGTATTGATGTAGCACCTTCCAAACATGATTCACAATTTACTTGATAAATAAAACATCTTCTACATTTATGTAAAGTGTTGGGAGCCAACAGATTCTATAATTTGGCTTTAAATCATCAAATTTAAGCAATTTGTAAAGAATCAATACATTGACGCCAATTATCAATATGTAAAAATTCTAAATTCAATATAAAAAATAAAAATTGAATAAGTTTTAAGTGATTTTCAGCTTCTGAAATGAAAATTTGTATCAATTTAATAAGTATTCATAAATAATAACTTTCAATTGGACAAACTTAGTTGGTTTAGTTTCTACAGGTGGATAAATGTGTTGACATTGGATGTCCTTGTATAGGGTTATGTAAAATTAATATAAATTTAAATTAATTCAAAAGTAACAATCACTTTTTCTGTGATAAAAATAATTTGGTATAATCGGTTTTGATTACTTAAGAAGTTTAATAATAAATAAACGTTAATTTCAATCTTTATTAATAATTAACAATGTTTATATAAAAAAAGATAAAGGTGTTGATGTTACCTATTTTTATTATTTCTCTTTTAATGTAAATACTAACCTGTGGGGAGTCTTGTTCAGAGACAGCCTTAATAATTTTGATAGGTTGCCCTGATGTCATCATACTTATGGGTTTGCCCGTGGAATGGATGAGTTTAATCATCTGACCTGAAACTATAGTTAGCAAAAAGAAAAGACCGACAAAAAATACTATTTTAAATTTAAAAAAATGCGATTTCAATCTGAATTTGAAGAGGTTGGTTATAATTTTTTTCTAACCTTCTTTAATGACAATTGACAATTTGTTATTTTTCCCTTTTATCGCCAACTTAAAATATGATAAAACCCCATAAAAAAATAAATAAATTACAAACGATATAAATACCACCCGCGAATGAAAAGCATAAGGCCGAAATGAAATGGGATTTTTATTTAACTTACCGTTCGAATCCTGTATCACCCAGTTCGTTGTATTATTTTGCTGGGTCATCTTCAATGATTACTCAATTCGTTTCAATTAAATTTAACGTATAAATCGCGCTTTTTTTATGTAAATAACCGAAAATAACGACCACCGCGATCACAGACTATGCACCACTCCGATCAAAATGGCGCCCGAACCGTACAACATTTTGTCGCGCAAATACGCCCCGATAACCTTAACCGAATTCGTATCGTACAACTTGATGATTTACGTTCAACCTTAAACTTGACGATTTTGATTTAATATTTTTTTACGGCTCTCAAAACACCGGAAGATCACCAGTTAAAAAAGAGGTGTCGTTTCGTCAAGAACACATCTGAGTACCGCTTTGGCGGCGGCACACAATCGTTCTGATTGGTCGTTTATATTCACGTGGGTTTGTTAGTTCGCGATTTCAACACCGCTGCGCCATCACTTAAAATCTTCCCGCCATTCCATGATTGTTTATCACACAATTTAGGATACGTTCATTTATTAAATTTAAATTAATCACTCACATTTATTAAATACACTAAAAGCAAAACTAAAACAAACAAATTTTATCAATATAACACAAACTTTATAAATATTTCTTTCGATTTCAATAAATAACTTTAGATATTATTTCATATAAATAAATCTTAAAACAACAACTTAATCAATATATTTTAAAACAACACTAAACTCATTAAATAATCAAAAAAAGATGCGTAAATACCATAATATTAATAATTTTTAAAAGTGGATTCACAAAAAAAAATGTTATTTTTCGTGCAACATCTGATCTTAAAACGTCAATGCGGTGGTGTCTTGTCATCTGTCAAAAAAAATTACATAGCCTCCCTCGAAATAAAAAATGGAAATATTGAACGATCACGTCCTAGAAGTGATTTTCTCCTATTTAAACTTACACGATTTGCGAAACTGTTCCCTCGTATGCAAGAAATGGTATAAATTCCTAAATGACGAAAACAACGACGTCTGGAGGTTACACTGCATAAGAAAGTTAGCAGAAGAAGCCTTAAAATCAGATTTATTATCATCTGTGCCCACCTATAAAGCAAAATTAAGGGCTTTTTATCACGCGTGGAATCCCAACGATTGTTCGCGAAATATTTACATAAAACCCAATGGATTTACGTTACATAGAAATCCAGTGGCGCAAAGTACTGATGCTTCTAGAGGAAAAATCGGATTTAGACATGGTCGGCATGCTTGGGAGGTTATTTGGGAAGGACCTTTAGGAACTGTTGCTGTTATTGGAATTGCTACCAAAGATGCTCCTTTACAATGTCACGGGTATGTGGCCTTGTTGGGTTCTGACGAACAAAGTTGGGGATGGAATTTAGTTGATAATCATTTATTACATAATGGTGATGCACAGGGGAATTATCCTTTATTAAATAATGCACCTAAGTATCAAGTAAGTATTTTTGAGTGCTTAAAAATGTAAAATAATATCATTTATTTTTTTAGGTAGGTGAACGGATAAGAGTTATTTTAGATTGTGATGATAACACATTGTCTTTTGAGAAGAATTATGAATTTTTAGGTGTTGCTTTTAGAGGTAAAGAAATTAAGTTTAAATTTTAATTAAATTTTTTTTTTCGTATGTTGGTATTATGAAATTTCCCATCTGTCAATTTGAATTTCTAACCTATCTTTTAATCTAATTTTTTATATAATTTATAAATTAATTAAATGTTTGTTGTTATGCTACATATTAATGTATCTTTGTAATTAGGTTTACCAGATAAAAAATTATATCCAACGGTATCCGCTGTTTATGGTAATACGGAAGTATCCATGGTTTACCTCGGACCTCCTCTGGATGGCTAACATATGCATTAGTGAATTTATAAAGAAAGAAAATAGAGTGAATATCGTACAAAGTATCTAGGAAAGGTCTATCTGGAATGTTAGGTTTGCCATTGTGATATAACTAAAAATAGACTTGAAAAAACAAGAAATCGGGACTCTATATGCACTTCCAGTTACCACCGACTTTATTTAACTTATTTTAGTTAATTTTTAACACTGAATCTCTTTTATTTTTAGGTTTGATTATATTTTTTTGGACTTTATTGAACGTTAATTTTTTTTTTACAAATATCTTTATTAATTAATTTTGAAATATATGCGTAAAAAATGTCCTTCCAATAATAGTTTTTAAAAGCATCTCATACGCCAGTAAATTAACATCATACCTCGTAAAATTAAGCAGTCTTAATTAATTCATTCCAATTTGATTTCAAATAATTATCTACTTATTATTTTATTGTTTTAAATCGAAAACAATTTTATTTGAAGTTATAAAAGCCAGTAATTTTATTTATTTTTTCATTTTATACACATTAATTTCTGTGATATCATCCCTTATGTGTTCAAAAGCTAAGTAAAAAAGTGTTGTTTCTGTTGGTGGTGTGACTTTTTTAATTTAATAAAAATAGGGTACAGTTTACCTGCCTATGGCAATATGACCATTTAAATTGTTTATAACACCATTGTGAAAAAGAAATGTTTTGTAATTAAACGATTTAATGGGAGAATAAAATGTAATTTTTCTAGTCATGTAAATAGTATGCGGATGTAGCAAAGGTGACAATGATTAAACTATTAAAGGAGTAAAGTAATAAAAAGTTGGTGACAAAAAAGGTGAAAAGCTGTAAATATCGAATTGTAATTTTTTTTTATAGTAGGTATACGTGGTTCCAATTTTTCTATTAAATCTTATCATTTTTTCGTGCGTCAATTCCAAGTTAGCAATTGTATTCGAACGTGGAAAATGAAGTCAAAAAATATATTGATGAGAAACAATGTCTTGCACATAGTCCTAATTAGGTAATACGATAAGCTATTTATAATATCAATAAATAAAATGAAAATAAATTTATTTATATTCAAGAAAATTTGTAATATTTTGTATAGCATATGAAAAAATTATGTGGTACGGATATAATTGTTTTTTGTCAATAGTAGTAATAAAAAAAATTAAATAAAACTTGTTTGTTTATATCCATAATTACTTTAATTGTAACAATACAGTAAAACCTCGATATAACGGCTAAACCCGAATGTTTCTATAGTTCATTTTTTTCTATAATACCTGCCAAATTGTTGTAAAGTTGGCAAAACTAACAGGGAGTTTTGTTTTATCATGTTTTGAAATAAATATGTCACACTGACGTTTTAGCTTTCGTTATTCAAAAAAAAAGGTGCTTAAAAAATGTTGTGGGGCGTTTATTTGCCATTTATTTACCTAGAAAAGGTGTTTTGTCCTATTTAATTCTAATTAATTTTACTTTGTTAAATCGTATTTATCTAAAAATTTATTAGTATTTTAACCTCAACTATTTAGTTACTGAAAATGTTACTAAAAATCAGAAAAACAACATAAATTTTATAAGGCTCTTAGATAATACCAACAGAAACCCTAAAAAATTTACATTGACAAGTATTATAGAAAAAAAAACGAACTATAGGTCTAATTTTAGTTGTTATTCAGCGTTAAATTTTGTCTACTTCTTCCTTTGACCTCCTTAACAATTCTACGCCATTCCCGTCTACTCCTATTGTATAGGCTATCTATACCACGAAAAACGAGAGTAATTCATCGATTTTCATAATTTTCCTCGTACGGTACAGATCTCTTTTCTAATGTCGGTAACCGACCACGCTTCTATACCGACCAAAACAAAACTAACCTCTAAAACGGGTACGAGTTGTTAAAACGAATTTTCGTAAAATGTTTTCGTTAAAAGGAAAAATGTTAAATAGAAAAGCAATGGTGATGTTGATGAACGTACATAATTATTTGAAAGTTTAAGTGAGACTACTCTTAATGAAGTAAGTATTTTTAATTTTATTTCCGCTTAACCTCAAAAATAATTTTTATTTAGAGAACTGCTGAAGCTTATGGGGTTTCGGTTTCCTCTTCAATATCATCGCCCCATAAGACGGTTAATCGGCCAAAAAATAAGTCAATATATGTATGATTGCCATCAGAAATATGAATAGAACATGGCATTTGGAGGAAATGTGATGGTAATAAAGGGTTTCTTAAATGAGCCTGAGAAAGTTACTGCCAACTATAGGTTTTATGTACCACATAAATAACCAAAGAAGTGGTTTGCTGGAACAGCCACATATTGCATTGTTAAGAGCAATATTTTAAGACCTGTGAAAAAACCTAATGGAGAAGGGAAAAGGTAGGTCTAATTTATAGGTGTTGCATGCTGGCAATAATCCTGGATTTATAAAGGGCTCAGATCTCTTGTTTTCTTCCACATCTAAATCAGCAGATTATTATGTTAACATGAAGCTGACCTTTTCAAAAGTGGTTCATGGAGCAGTTGCTTCCTAATTTAGATACGCTCAGTTTAGCTTAACATAGCGTAAGGGAGAGCTAATTAAGTATTTAAAAACAAAAAATATTACTCATCAGGAAAACATGTTAAAAGCAGAAGTATATTAATCTCCAAAAATCACCCAACAACAAAGTGTATGAAATTGATGAACTTGTTAATGAATAGGGCCACAAAGTAATTCGATTATCTCCATGTCATTGTCAATTCAATTCCATTGAAATGGTTTGGGCGAACTGTAAACAATATTATAATAAACATATTGGTAGAGATGGATATGGTGAGGAAAGGTACTGTCAATATGGGACGAGGCACTATGTAAAGTGACGGCGGAAGATTGGGCGAATCTTCAAATAATCTATTAATTATTTATTACTTTTTTTTTAAGTATTTTTAAAAATTTATACATTTTATTATTTTATAAATATTTTTGTATCAAAAAGCAATGTTATTTTTTTTTCTTTTTTTTTGCATGTTTTGTAATAATATTTAATGTACAATTAAAATAAATTCCTTTTATTATCATTATTATAAATAATTAATTTATTTTCTGGCAAGGCAACACATATTTTCGCTACGTGTAATTGGTTGCCTATCTTTAAAAAAATTTAATTTAAGCCCTACGTCCAAATGTTATTTTGTACACTTTTAAGCGGTAAAGACTATAGCCACCTAAGTAATCCTTCACATCGTCCAACCATCTTTTACGGGGTTTTCCTCTGAGTGATCCCGCAGATTTCTCAATGTTACCATAAATAGTTTGAAAAAACAACGAATTCATCATATTTTTGTACTTTCTTCGATATCTCTGCGTCTGAGAGCAAAAGTGCAAGAGAGCAATTCTGTTAAGAATAAAATTTATAAGGGTACAGAGTCTGGAATGTGTCAAAAATTAAATTTTATGTTTTTTATGGACATTTATTTATAACATATTAAGAAAAACTTGTAGTTTTAGGCAATTATAGTATAAGAATTTGCGAAAAATATGTGGCATTCATTTTAGTTTTAGGCACTGTTAGTTATTTTATTTTGCAATATATTCCGTTTTTATGTCGCCAATTATTGTATTATTGTTGATAAAGTAACACTTTCGTTCTCAGTAATAATTTATTTTCTCATGATAATCTTAAGGATTAGCTAATCTCACAAGATAATAAATTTTTCGTCCTTTCAACTTCTGAAGTGTTATCCTAACCACTTCTGAAGGTGCCTTTAAGTGCCGAGGCGACCAAATGTGCGTGATGTCCAAAGTGCGACGGGACTTTCTCGTTGTTTGCGTTTTCCAGCCTTATTTTCCGATTTATTAATACCCGCAAACAGTTAAATATTTGTCCACTCATTGTTAGCATTTTTAACATCTTCTGTCACTCGAGAAGAGATTTATTTGGCCGCCAGGCGACTGCCCCGGGGTGACATAATGTCAACTTAGAAACTAAAATACCAACTATACACAATCCCTAGTGCATATATTTGCTGAGGTCACGTCGAAGACTTTATGCCGTTTGTCGAGCTTTTGTTTCACAACGTCGCAATCTAAAAACGTTAACCTCTCTCGAAATATCAAAAATTTACAGGTAGTAAAATAGCAGAGGAAAAATAACTGTTTTAATAATAATTAACTTTACCTTTTTTAAAGTAAAAATCAAGATTAACAGGACACTAATATATATTTGTATCCTATCTAAACATCTTGGCAGGCGAGATCAAAACAAAAGGGTTAGATCGTGCATCAACCACATTGTTGCTTATTCCTTTCTTGTCCTAATGAATATCGCGTTCAAAAATTTCAATTATTTCCACCCGATATTTGTACTTCATTACCGGCATTCTGAGAAGTCTAATCTCGATGGGAACTGAGAGAGAAAGATGGGATGACGTTGGAACGCCGCTGATACAATAACACTTACCCAAACAGTCAACAAATAAAGTTTAATTTTCCGACGCAGTAAAGATAACGATTACAAGAGAGGCATTGCTCAAAAGTTACCGTCCGTATTTCATTCTGTCATCGGGTTTTTTTTATTTTCGGGGAGGTTTGGTTTTGTTCCTATCTAATCTAGTTTACTTCACTTTCCAATCGGTAATTAAGAGAGGCTACCTTCAGGAAGTCGACGGGTTGCTTGATAAAAAGATAAGAGGTGATTTCGTTTCTTTTTATGGGGTAGACCACCCCTGCTTACAAGTGCTACTGATATGTGATAGCAAAATTAATCTAACTAATAGAATTGAAAATTGAAATGATCTGTAACTAAGACTTCTTTTTTAACGGCAGGGGAGGGCTAAAAAGTATCTTAAACGTAGTATAACTCTATTGTATTCACAGGTAGTTGTTAGGGAAAAAAAGGAGTTATGTGCAGAAAACTTGACGTTAAACATGCGATTAATGCTTTTAATTAACTGCGACGACAAAAAGACCATTTCAAGGCGGATTTAAGTTAAGGTTTACGCACTGATAGGTAGGCAATTGAAGCGATTTACTGCGACAATAGGATTTATTCCGGTTTTCTTACATACCTTTTCTCTAACAGGGTTCTGGGTAAACTGCATTTGCTTCGGACACCGGTTAAAGTATAAACACTTGGAGGCTTCCACTAGCTTTTTCTTGTTGTCGCCTCTACAACTTCCGAACCCGATTTGTTTAACGAGTTATTAGCCTTTTGTTATAAAGAAGTAAAAGATTATGAGAGGATAAACTTTTTGTATGGAGGAACAGTTTTTGGATTTGTTGATTCTATTGAAAATCAAAAAAGATAAAATAAAACCTATTTGACGGGTTGTAAACAACAATACAAATAATATAATGTAGAGGATAAACTTATAAAGTAACAAAAAAAAGAGCAGAAAATGGTGAAACGAGAAGGAGAAAAAAATTGAGATGGTAGCCTGATGTTTTTACAATGAAGAAGAATAAGAAGAAGAGGCGTATCGAGCGATCTTAATCCCGTATCGAGAGCAGGGAATCAGAAAATGCGATCGGACACCGCATTCAATTAAGAACATTACAAAGAATTTGTAACACGTATTGGAGATGCCCTTTATTGATTTGTCCATCCGGTTATCTTCTTTACCTTCAATACCATTCAACAGGTCAATAGATCAATCAATTATCCACGGGTTCGGATTTTAGCGTTTAGAATATTTTTTTCTCAAGAACAAAATGATTTATTAGCCGATTTTTGAAAGATATATTGTGTATACATAAACGAAAATCTTTCTCGCGCTACTTACTACGCCACGTCAAGTGTTAAGTAAATGCTAAAAGTAAATATTTCTTGTTTATTTGGACGCTACTAAATAGTTTTGTCGGAAGAACGCGAAAAGATACACGTAAGCTATTATTACGGTTGGTACTGTGGTGCGTATTTACCTGTCTTTTATGGTTTTATTACTGTCTATAAAACTCACTACCGGAAGATTAAACCTTCCTCACCCTTCCAACCATAAATACATTTCGGAGGTACTAATTGCTTAGGTATGGACCCACCACATACAAAATAACAATATAATATTACTTTTTGGAAGATAATAAGTTTTGTTTTTCATTTCTTCTACAACTTTTTAAACTGTTTTTGTGGTTTAAATTTTCTTAACCTGCCGCACAGTCAATCAAATTATATTTACGAAATTTTTCTTTTCGTTTTTTTTACATGTTACATGTACTTTAGGTCCTAATAGACTGAGAGGTGAAAGGAATAAAGTCTTATGTACTTTCTAGTGCCAACTGTACGCAATAAAACAGTACTACAATTCTTGTGTATTAAATATCATAAAATGCTACAACTTTAGATGAAGAAAATATATTGTGTTCCACTTTTTCAAGACAATGCGTTGTTGCTATATTGAACAGTATAGAAAGGTCTTCGTTTGGCACATTTCTAATTTTTAAAATATTTTTGCAGAAATACGTCTTTTAAAGGTAATTAACACCTACTTGAAGTTACAACCAAATGTTTTAACATATATATCTGGCAGAAGACGCAAGAAGTACTTTTGTCGCTAGAATATTCTTATTCTTTGAGATGTGCTCTATATAACATGATAACCACATCTTGCTTTAACTTGCTCCTTACCAAGATATTAGCGATCAAAGATGATCAGTGCCTGAGTGTGTTTTCATATAAAATGCTTATATTCTTTTTCTTAAAAGATAAATCTCGTATATTTGGTGTAAACCCGCATAACAATAATAGAATATCAGACTTAAAGTTTCAGACATATTTAACAACCGGAAGTGGTTGTTAGATACAGTGCGGCAAAAAACTGGAACACTTGAAATATCTACTTCTTTTATAAGTACGAAGGTTTTCACGGCCGGAGTTAATTGAACTAAAATTAGAACTAAAACTAGTACTAACTCTTAACTAACTAAACTGGTTCGAAGTGTTTCTGAAGAAGGTTGCAACATCAAAACGTCAAACCTTTTCTTAGAAGACGCACGACAAAACCCGAAAGTTTCTAGTGTTAGTTGATGAACGGTAGAGCTAGAAGGTTTTAAGTTTGATTTGTCTGTTCTCCATGCATACATTGGGTTTTTTGTGTGTCTGCTTCACATTTCATATAGATTAAAAATTAGAACTTGGAAGGTGATTTCATTAAACAGTGGGTACAATATTAATTGCAATGAATTTGATAAATACTGTTTCAAAACTGCCGAAAAGTACGTCTATTTTATGGTTGGTACTATATGCCAACCAGCGTTCATAAAATTTTGATACATGGATCTGCAGTCATTAAAGAACCTCTACTACCTATTGGAGAGTTGTCGGAAGAAGTGCAAGAAGCTAATAACAAAAAAATCTGAAAATTTAGAGAGAGCCACACAAGGAAATGTAGTAGACTGGATACGAATAAAGATCTATTTAAAAGAGTGCTACTCAGCTCAGATCCATTTATAAGTAATTTTCAACAGCACATTTCTAGAAAACATAAAAAGATGAGTATGGAGACTAAAAGATTACTTATAATAGACAATGTAGAAGACCAGGAAGAAGAAAAAGATCGCTAAGAAGAAGATGAATATGACGAAGAACAAGAATCAGAACAAGAGCTATATGAGGCAGGATGCAACGAAGATGAAGATGACGAAGAATGGTCTGAAACAGAACAAAAAGAAACATACATTGTTAAGCAACGTAGATAATTTATAGAGAATTAAATTCCCTTTCTGATAGGCTAAAAAAGCATGGTACGTTCCATTTAAAATTTTCTACTTTCTCGCCATTGAAAATGGAGAAACAATAATTCAATTTTTGACCACCCTGTATAAGATACTCCGATACAACAAATGACAATCTATTTGACAGCATCTGAAGAATAATCGTACCAATTTAGACCTTTTTTGAATGAACGTTGGCTGAGATATGGGGTTTTAAACAGCATGGTGAAATTTACCAAAAAAAGTTTAGAACCAAAATATCTGGAAAACGAAAAACGCTAGGTACCAATAACTTTTATCAAAGTTAACCTATTTTTTTACGTACAATTAAATTGTGTAATAAAAACTATAACATTCCATTTAAAATAACGAAGTTATGATGTACTTCCGGTAGACCGGAAGTGGTAGCCATCTTAAAACTATTTTAGATCGAAAGTTCCCAGGCTACCAATATTAAGAAAAAAACTATACGAATAGTGGAACCTAGAAAAGTTACGTGACACACCTGTATAAGAGGTTGTCTAGGTTCCTATACTGCAATACTTTGATTTTAGTTTGTGGGCGAGAGCACAGTATAAAGTAAAACAGTAGTTTCACTTCGTGTCGGCACGTTTGACGTCGTGTCCGTAGATTTTTTACTGCGCATCCGCTGCGCGCACCATTGAAATAAATGTTACAACCATCGAGATATACTATGTTTACTGGAGTGCGTGCTTTGAGCTAGAAAAGGAGCCGGCCTCCCCCACCCCATAACGGCAAAAAGCTTCAACGTAACATACGTAAATTTTTTTTTTTTTTTTTTTTTTTTCGAACTATAATAACTTAAATATGTATTATTTGGTATTTTTCATCATTATTTGAATTACTCTTTTAAAATTAAATTATTCTCTAGTATAACATAAATCTATTACTACTTTAGTTTCCCTCAATTATTTTATGATAAANGCAAGCCATTGCAAAAGATTTCCCTGAACACCAAACTTCTTTAGTTTGAACAGAAGTAAGTTGTGATCCACCCGGTCGAAAGCTTTACTAAAATCCGTATAAACTGAATCAACCTGACAAGAATCATCCAGAGTAGATAAGATATACTGGGTATATTCAAGCAAGTTACTCTCCACCGAGCGACCAGCAAAAAAACCATGTTGTCTAGAATTGATTTTAGACTTAAGGGCAAAGAATAGACGTGCATGAACTACTTTCTCAAACACTTTCCCAAATGCTGGCAAAATAGATATGGGGCGGTAATCGGATATAGCACCACGGTCCCCAGATTTAAAAATGGGAAGAACAAAAGCCCGCTTCCACAATAAAGGAAAGACACCCATTTTCAATGAAGCATTAAATAAAATAGTTAAAGGAAGGGACAGAGAGTGTGAACATTCCTTGATTAAAATTGATGGAATACCATCAGTACCTATACTGTCTGTAACCCTGATGCCCATCAGGGCCTCCTCAACCTCAATTCTGTCAAACTGCATCTGACTCAAAGGAAGGGTATCCATTTCTATACAATCGACATTCTGCTGGATTGGAGCAGGATCCACAAAAACCGAAGAAAAGAAATCAGCAAACAATGAGCATACTCCATTTTATTAAAAATAATGAAGTTATGGTCTACTTCCGGTAGACCGGAAGTGACAGCCATCTTGAAAATATCTTAGATTGAAAGTTCCGAATGAACAACCCATGCTACCAAAATTTCAAAATTGTACGAATAGTGGAACCTGAAAAAGTTCTAACGAACCAGTTACGTTAAAGATTTATTTATAAAAACCTTACATCGAAGTAAACTATATAACCAATTTAGTTTAAACAATTTTGTATTTAGTTATCCTTCACGATTTAATAGCGTCGTATAAAATTTTGTATTTATCCAATTCTAAGAACCTAAATTATATGAAAAAAGTAGAATGTGACCTCAAGTAAATTAGTACTTCCGGTTGCCATATTTGATCAAAAGTTCACAAAGTCTTTAGCATATAGTCCTATAGCCACATACCAAGTTTCAAAAAATTATCTCAACCTAAACTGTGTTAAAATATTTTTGTTCGGGTTTTTTCGAATTTAGACCACTTTGTGCCGGGAGGAGAACGCAGGGTGTGGTCCCACAAGCTCTAAGTAAAAGTTGATTTCGATTCTCACGAACGGCAGCAACCACTAAGAACCCAACGGCGGAGTCGCTTGCAGGATCTATGGGAAAAGAGAATAGTAGAGGCGTTGATCCTTCGACAAATGTGGATTCATTAGTCATTCCTGGGTTTCTTCGCCGCGGGATCAACCGGGAACCAGATACGATCAACCTCTATGATTGGCATTTTTAATTGTGACCATTTAGTACAATCCAAGGCATTGTTCGACACGGAGCTGTTGCCCCCGAAGAAATCTCAGTTCATAATGTTAGTGAACGCGAATAGGATGATAACGGGAATATAGTTTTTTTTTGTTTAGATAAAATCAAGATTTTTATTATTATGTTACAAAATAATTACTACATTAAAATTTATATTATAAGATTAATTTTTACGAAAGTGAAAGTATTCAGAAGAATTTGATAATTTAAATTGTTCGTCTAATATACACATTTCGGGTGTTGCCATGTATTTGCTATAAATTCCTAAAAAAGTGTCTAAAGGACACAATTCTTGGAAACAACCTCTCAATAAAAGAGGTTTTGGGCGATCATATGATCGTTGATGATAAAGAATCTAAATCAAAAAAATATAAATAGTAACTTAAAACTAAAAGAATTAAATAATTTACCTTCACAGCGTATTCCTTATTTATTTGATGTAATTCAAACGAAAGAAATGAAGCGTAAGGGATTATTTTGTTCGAATATTGACCTAAAGCTCCCATTAAATTGGCAATTGTAAAATCATGACCGGAATATAAATGAATTTTGCGCGAATTCATTTTTGGATTATGTAGTTTTGATTTGATTGAATTTATTATTTCCGTTAAAATAAATCCTGAAATAAAAATTAAATCAATTAAATAAGTTGATGTATTTGTTTTAATTTACCTCCAGATAACGTTTTAAGTTCTTCTGTTCTTCCTGATATGTTATAAGTAAGAATTTCAAATTCTTCGAGTATGGGCATGAATTCTTTGGCCCAACTTGGGAGCCGAAGACCAAATTCTTTCTATTAATAACAAAATGTATTAAAAAAAATATCTAAAATCTAATTGATATATATTCTTACTTGTAATTTTAGGTGTAGAGATAAATTAAATAAATCGCGATAGCTCGAAAATTTTGCTCCGGTGTGTTCGTATAATTTTTCGAGTATTTCCTTAAAATTTTTTATATCGTTATTTTTTACCGATTTTTTGGTTTCTTCTTGATACAAATATGTAAACTTATCGCAATTTACAAAAGATAAAAATGTCTAAAACGAAAAAGTTGTACTTAAACCTTATTAATGTAACTTAAAACTTACAGTATCAGTAAAAAATCCATTTGATTCGTAAGGTATCGGTTGCCAATTTAGGTCATTAGCGAGACATTGAGATTTTTCCGGTGGAAACATTGCCGCTAAAACTATTAACAATGAAATGCGACATCTAGGAAATGGTGAAGATAACGCATAAACGGTGTCTCTATGATAATCTTCTAACAGATCGCAATACAACGATTTTAAGTATTTTCCTAATTTGAAAAGAGTTTGTTTTCCAGTCTATAATTAATTCATTAATTAACTCATTAATTAAATTAAAATGAAATAATTTTACCATCGTTAATGCTCCTGGTCCATAAGGTTCATAAGTATAATTTTTATATGGATCTTTTGGATACGGACCAGCAATGACCATAGGGGTTCTTTCTCCATGTCTAAACAACTAAGAAATAATTTTACAACTTATTGAGTATCTTTATCTTAAGTCTTACTTACTATTTGAGTAAATATTAATGTATTTTTGTCCTCGTTTGGAACACACTGATTTGACGAACTTGAGTAGGATGGAATTGATTGCTCTGTACAATTTGGAGTATATATTTTCCATATAAGTGCAATAATTCCCACAATATTAAATATTAAGAACTGGAAACAATATAAACACTCTATTATTACAAAAGAAATAAGATTAATTAATTAATTTACGATTAATGTCCATTTGGAAAGTATTGGTTTCTTCTTCTCTTTCCTCTGAAACTCTTCCTTTAAGAAATCCATTTCACCACACAATAAAATGTACTAATGTGGTTTGTGATAACGATTTCTTTATATAACGCCTTTCTACAGGTAATTAACGCGAAAAATTCTTTGAATAAACTAGTAAAATATCTAAGGTATTTATAATAAAGTGTTAAATATCGATATGTTAGTTATTTATGATGTATTCTTTATTTATTTATAAAGTAATTTAACGTTCATTAAGTATACTTTTCTATTTATAGCTGAGCCGGAAAACTTTTGTTATCGTGGAAATTTTAATAGAAATAATTGGGGAATCCCTTTTCGCCCTTGTCATCGAGATATTAAATTAATAAGAAATGTAATGTTAAGTGCCATTTTAGTTTAATAAGTAAATAAACAGAATGTTTCTTATTTTATTTTCTAAAGATATAGATAAGATACAACAGTTTTCTTTATTACGCTTTAATAAGCTTTTCTGTAGAATGTCTGATATTTTAGTTGGAAAATTTCAATCTTTGATGAATTTTTTATGTGTATATAAAATATCATATTTAAATATCAAGTAAAAAAAAAGTTAATAGAGGAAAAATTAAATAGAGGATACCTGAATTAATAATTGGTGATATTTCCACAAGGATCCTTCAAAAAATTAACTTTATAGCGAATTTTGAAAATTATCGATGAAAATTGCAACATCGAAAATTTTATCAAAACTTCAAATATTGTTTTCTCAAAAACTAAAAGTTATTTTTCAAAACGGGCTGGTTCATTGGAAAGAAGACACTTTTATAAACACTTTGGGAAATTTTTATACTAACATTCCAAGAAATGGGTTTTATACGAATTTTTAAAACTTAATCGGAGAAAATTGCAAAATTCGAAAAAATTATCGATCATTTCAAAAATTTATTTCTCAAGAACTAAAAGTGATTTTTCAAAACTGCTTTTTGCATTAAAAAGAGGATACCTGAATTAATAATTGGTGATATTTCCACAAGGATCGTTCAAGAAATTAATTTTATAGCGAATTTTGAAAATTAAACTATTAACCAATTGTTGATTATGTATTTTTTTTCTGTTTTCGTTATTTGGTACGAAATAAATTGTTAACCCATTGTTGCTTGGTATCGATCTAGAATAATTAAAAATTATCTAAATGCCCACAAAATGATCTAAAGGATTTTGAATATATTTTTAATCATTTATGATTAAAATCTTCCATAACTAAAGCTTTTATTAAAATATTACTAAATACAGTTTAATAACACTTAACATTAATCATTAAATTATAGTTTTAATATTTTCCAAGGATAAAATATTCAGATGAATTTGTCTTCTTAAATTGCTCATCTAATATGCACATATCAGTAGTTGCCATATATCTTCCATAATACCTTATGAAGACATCTAAAGGACATAATTCTTGATAGCATCCCTTTAAAATTATAGGTATTGGTTGATCATACGATCGTTCATAATAAAGAATCTAAAATAATCAAAATTAATGGATTATTCAAAGCAATGTATAAAATAACGTAATTTTTTACCTTCACAGCATATTCTGTATTGATTTGATGTAATTCAAAAGAAAGAAATGACGCGTAAGGAATATGCTTGTTTGAATACTGACCTAAAGTTACCAGTAAATTTGCAATTGTAAAATCGTGGCCTGAATATAAATGAATTTTACGACGATTCATTTTTGGATTGTGTATTTTTAATTTGATCGCATTCATTATTTCTGTTAATAAGAATCCTGAAATAAAGATAAATACAAAACTGTTTTTATATACGATTTTAATTTACCTCCAGATAACGTTCTAAGTTCGTCTGTTCTACTTGACATGTTGTAAGTGAGAAATTCAAATTGTGAGAGTATAGGCATGAGTTCTTCAGCCCAGATTGGAAGTTGAAGACCAAATTCTTGCTATAAAATATATTTGCTCTTAAATTTTGAAATAATAAATGTAGGCTATTGTTTACCTGTAATTTTAGATGTAAATGCAATGTAAATAACTCACGGTAGCTAGAAAATTTAGCTCCGGTATGTTCAAATAAGTTATCAAGTATTTCCTTAAAATTTGGTACGTCGTTATTTTTAATCGATTTTTTGGTTTCCTCCCGAAATAAATAATTAAACTTTTCGCAATTTGTAACAGATAAAAATGTCTAAAACAAAATGTCATTAATATCTCATTAATATAACTTAAAACTTACAGTATCGTTATAAAATTCATTAGATTCATAAGGTATTGGTTGCCAATTTAAGTCATTTGCAAGATATTCTGATTCTTCCGGTGGAAACATTGCTGCTAAGACTATCAATAATGAAACGCGACATCTAGGAAATGGTGAAGATAAAGCATAAACGATGTCCCTATGATAATCTTTTAATAAATTACAATAATATGATTTTAAGTATTTTCCCAGACCAAAAAGAGTTTTCTTTCCAACCTATAATTAATTTTATTTTAAAATAAAATTGGTTAATTTAAAATTGTTTTACATTAGTTAAAGATCCTGGACCAAAAGGTTCGTAAGTGTAATTTTTGTAAGGATCTTTTGGATACGGTCCTGCGCGATCCATAGGTGTTCTTTCACCATGTCTAAATAACTGAAAATTCAAAATTTAAATAAAATTTAAAAAATAATTTAAGTGTTACTTACTATTTGAGTCAATATTAAAGTGTTTTGGTTTTCAGTAAGCACGCATTCTGTTGATGTCTCAACGGTATTATGTAAATTCGATGGAATTGATGGACAGCTTTTTTGATTAGTTACTTTTAATATTAAGGGAATGGGGCCCAAAATGCTAAGTATTATGAACTAAAAATATCGTAAAAGTATATTCGGTAAAATCAAACAAAGATTTGTTATAATAAAAGCTTACTATTACTTTCCATTTGGAACATTTAGATTTTTGCTTTTCTTTTTTTTCCTCTTTCTCCTCCTTCACAAAATCCATTTAGATTGTGATAGTTTCAAGAAGTGATACGTACTAAAGCGGCTTCGTTATGTTTTTTTATTTATATAGGTACTCAATTTATTTGTTATCACTACGAAACATTCTTTAAATAAAGTGGAAATATTTTGAGTACAACCCCAGAAATATAAGTATATGGAAAAGAAATGTGATATTACAATCTAAATTATGCAAATTGTATATTTTACTTGACTTTATTTATTACGGAATAATTTTGATTAAATAAAAAGAAGATTATTTACATATTTGTATGAATTTGTTAACTTAAATTATTGATCTAATATGCACATATCAGTAGCTGCCATATATTTTCCATAATACGTTATGAAGGTATCTAAAGGACATAATTCTTGATGGCACCCTTTCAAAATCACAGGCTTCGGGTGATCATATCCCCGTTCATAATAAAAAATCTGAAATAAATAAAACTAATTAATTAATAACATATTATTTATAAAATAAAAGATTACCTTTACAGCATATTCTGTACTAATTTGATGTAATTCGAAAGAAACAAATGATGCGTAGGGAATATGCTTGCTTGAGTATTGACCTAAAGTTCCCAATAAATTTGTGATTGAAAAATCGTGGCCGGAATACAAATGAATTTTGCGACGATGCATTTTTGGATTGTGTATTTTTGATTTGATCGCGTTCATTATTTCTGTTAATAAGAACCCTGAAATAAGGATAAATACAAAACTGTTTTTATATACGATTTTAATTTACCTCCAGATAACGTTTTAAGTTCCTCTGTTCTACTTGATATGTTATAAGTGAGAATTTCAAATTGTGAGAGTATAGGCAAGAATTCTTCTGTCCAAGATGGAAGTTGAAGACCAAATTCTTTCTACAAAGCATTATTTTTTTATTTTAAAAAGAATGAATGAAAGGCAGTGATGTTGTGATCAACATTCACAAAACGCCAACGATCTAAATATGGCTGAAGAGGAATATTTAATGGAATGAATTTAATTTTGTTAATAAAATTAGCCGTCTTGAGAGACGTGCGGCTAAACCCGAAAGTTGCTAGTTCTCGGTCTAGTGTTATTTCTAGTATTGCAGTAGCACTATTACTAGAACTAATATAAGACCTAGAACTAGAATCCTTCGGGTTTAGTCGCCTTGAGAGACGTGCGGCTAAATCCGAATGTTTCTAGTTCTCGGTCTAGTGTTATTTCTAGTATTGCAGTAGCACTATTACTAGAACTAACACAAGACCTAGAACTAGAATCATTCGAGTTTGGCCGTCTTGAGAGACGTGCGGCTAAACCCGAATGTTTCTAGTGCTCGATCTAGTGTTAGTTCTAGTTTTACACTAGCACTATTACTAGAACTAACACTAGACCTAGAACTAGAATCATTCGGGTTTAGCCGTCTTGAGAGACGTGCGGCTAAACCCGAATGTTTCTAGTTCTCGATCTAGTATTAGTTTTAGTGGCAATGGTAGGTAGCGCTAGTTAACATAAGATATTACTATGTTGTATATTTTTCTTGTACTAAAACTAGAACTAACGCTAGACCAAGTACTGGATAGTTTCGATATTTTATTTTTATTTTTGTTTATATTTTTTGTTTATAAACATTGTAGGTGGAAAAAAAAATAAAAATGCAGACTATTTTTACCTGTAAATTTAGATGAGAAGATAAAGTATACAATTCCCGATAACTAGTATATTGAACTCCGGTATGAACAAATAATTTTTCAAGTATTTCCTTAAAATTTTTTACTTCGTTATTTTCGATCGATTTTCTTATTTCTTCCTGATATAAATAATTATACCTTTTGCAATTTAATCTAGATAAATACGTCTATAAAGCAAAAATAAAGTTACCTTAAGATGTGCTATCATAATTTAAAACATACGGTATCATTATAGAATTCATTAGATTCGTAAGGAATTGGTTGCCAATTTAAGTCATTCGCAAGAAATTGTGATTTTTGCGGTGGAAACATTGCTGCTAAGACTATCAATAATGAAACGCGACATCTAGGAAATGGTGAAGATTGAGCATAAACGGTGTCCCTGTTATAATCTTTTAATAAATTACAATAATATGATTTTAAGTATTTTCCCAGACCAAAAAGAGTTTGCTTTCCAACCTATAATTAATTTTATGTCAAAATAAAATTGGTTCGTTTAAAATTGTTTTACATTAGTTAAAGATCCTGGACCAAATGGTTCGTAAGAGTAATTTTTGTAAGGATCTTTTGGATACGGCCCTGCGTGGTCCATAGGTGTTCTGTCACCATGTCTAAATAACTGAAAATTCAAAATTTAAATAAAATTTAAAAAAAATTTAATTGTTACTTACTATTTGAGTCAATATTAATGTGTTATGATTTTCAGTTTCAAGAAAACAGTGTGTAGTTAATGCTTCAATGGTATTGTTTAAATTCGATGCGATTGATGGACAACTTCTATTATTAACTAACTTTAGTATTAAGGAAATAGGGACCGAAATACTTAATATTATAATCTAGAAATATCATAAAATTATAAAAAGAAGCAAAGATGTGTTAAAACAAAAACTTACTATTACTTTCCATTTGGAGCTTCCGAACTTTTGCTTTTTTCCTTTATCCACTTTAACCTCTTTTACTAAATCCATTTAAGTTGTGATAGTTTCACGAAATATTATACAATAAAGCGGTTTCTTTGTATATTTTTATTTATATTAGGTACTCGAAATGTTTAAAATTATAACATAACATTCCTTAAATAATTTCTATTATTTTAAGCCTAACCGAAGAAAAATGTATGTCATCAGTCATAGAAAATGATTTATTCCAACAATGTGAATTATGCGAACCATCGATTTTTATAACTTTGTTTACTTTTAAGCGATAACTTTCTTTGATAGTTAAAAAAAAGATAATTTATAGCTTCGTCAAAATTGTATAATTATCATAATAAAGTAATTATAACTATTATCTAACTTACATATGTATATCTTTGTTATTGTATTTCTTTGGAATTCTTAATAAAAAATCTAAACAATTTTGTTTACTTGTTTAATGTAAAATTTACTCGGAAGAATGGTTAGGTATAACAAAATACCCTAATTTTGTATTAGTTGGCAACATTTTAATTCCAGGTAATAAAACACCGTTAAACATTTCGTTATACATATTTACAAAAGACTCAAAGAGGTTCTGTGGAAAAAGGAGCAGGGAAGAGATATGGAAGAGAATGTTGAACTTGCAAAAAGATTTTTGGTTATAGAACATAAATGTGTAGTAATTTCGTAAGCTTTTTTAATTTTGTCTATAAGTAAGTTTAATCGGTAAACCATTCTTAGCTTTAATAACTCCGGCTCCAACAATAACAGTATGTGGTTCATCTGGAGGACTTAGATCAAAATTTCTAATTATATTAGCCAAAACGACTTTGCAATTCATAATAGCGTACTTTTGCCCTAAAACATTTAGATTGAAACTAATAATTACATTCATATTTTAACTTAATTATAATTTACCAATGCAATTTCTCGGCCCAGCACTAAAAGGAATATAAGCAAAGCGATGTCTAGCTGCACAATTTTCTGGTAAAAATCGATCGGGATTAAACACATCAGGATCTGGAAATAATTCAGGGTCGCGATGTTGTTCGTGAGGGTGAAAGGAAATGGTGGTTCCTTTAGGAAATACAAGATCATCTAAAAGTAAATTGTAGCTAAAATAATGAAATTTAAAACCTATTTATATAAGTTAACCTATTTTAACGTCTTCAAGAAGTTCTCTCTCAAAGAAAGATACTGGAGGAAAAAGTCGCAAGCATTCTTTATAAGCTCGATCTAAATAGTGTAGTTCTTTTGCCACCGCAGCTGTAATAATTGCGTTTCGGTCTTGACCAACAACATCGATAATTTCATTTCGGATTTTATCGCAAACATCTTTATGTTTTGCAAGCTCGTATAATGAAAACGATAGAGCGGTTCCCACCGTATCTTGTCCCTATACCAAATCACATATTTTAAAAATAAATCAATATTTAAAATGATTAAACATACGGCGAACATGAATGTATTGACTTGCCATTCTATTTCTTGATCACTAAGATCACCGCGTTCCAAAAGAACATCGATAAACGCTCTTCGTTTCCGAATTCCAAAATCATCTTGATCCCCGTGAACATCGGTTTGAAGGTTTTCTCTTCGTTTTTGAATTACATCCGTAGTAATATTATGCATGGTATCTATTTGGGAGTAATACTGTTTACTTTCGGATGTAAACTTATATAGGAAATCGTATCTGTTCAAAATAGAAAAAAATCGACGTATAAAGGCGTCTAAAGTAGCGTCTACACATGCAGCGAAAACACTGTTACCAGATTCTTGGGAACGAAAATTTACTGCCATTGAAGATTCTAAATGAAGATTTTTTTAGGTATTTATTTGATTAAAAAAATTATTTTTATTACCACATAATGAATCTAAGGCGTAAAGTTTCATAAAGGGAAATATATCGATGACTTTCCCTGATTGTTTCTTTAATTCTTGAATTAAAATTTGAGTGTTATTATGAAAGTTTGCGGAAAATTGATCTAGTACGCTAAAATGAAATGCTGGCGTTAAAATTTTACGGTATTTGGACCATAGTTTTCCACTGCTATTGATTAAGCCACCTTCGCCAAGCCAAGATTTAAATATATCATATCCTAACGATTTTTTAATATGGACTTGCGACGACAGAAAATACTCAACCAGTTTAGGATCAGTTATAAAAACGTTTACTCGAAATGGTCCCTGCCATATTCTTACAACTTTTCCATAAGTTTTTATAAGTCGTTGACAATTATGATACAAATCTACAATACAAATTACATTTAAGTTTTTTATGAAAAAGAAAAAAATTAAAATATTTAAATTACCAAAGATGTTGTTTCCTAAATCAGCAGCATTTCCCGTAAGCCAATTAGCAGGAGGACCGGGTATTTTCTCTTCTATACATTTATATTTTCGTTTTTCTACATAACACCATGTAAAAAATAACACGGTTGTAATGAATAATATTAAAATAAACATCCCGTTTGATTTCTATAATCGAAATTACAGCCTTATTAACGCAATGTGTAATTTTATGGTAATGGAGAAAGGTTAAAAAGTATCTAGATAAGTTCAATAAGGTTATCTGTATTATAAATTGCTTTAATAGTAAGTGTTTTAGCTTATTCACGCAGTAAAATTAATAGGTGACGTTGCACTTTAATAAATTTGCTTTCCATATTGGACGAATAAATAATAATATATTCGAAGATTATGAATTGATTTCCTATTGTACCTATATCAACTAAAACTGAATAACTAAACTTTTAAATAAACGTTTTAAAAATTTGAGAATTTCAAAAAAAATATGCTCTAGCAGACATTTGTTCAAAAAATCGAATCTCAAAAAACCCTAATTATCTCCCAAACTATTAATGTAAGGTATGGGACATATAGGATATAAAAGGTGTAGAATGAGACACCGAAGACAACTAAGTAATAAAATACGGGGGGTGCCATTAAAAAAATGAAGTTATGGTACTTCCAAATTTCGAAAAGTTAACGTGCCATAGTAAAGTGACCAAACGTTCTAGACAGCCTTTCTCGGCACCAAAACATACTCCATCATGTAGCTTAAGCATTATTATTATTATTATTATTGCTGCCGGGCTGAGGAGGGCGGCCCCTCTCGTTACCGCGACCTATAAGATCTATTGTAACTTTAGCCCTCCAAAGGTTTAGGGCAAATGTAGGTCCTTAATGAACCTTAGTATTGTCCTGAGGTCCTGAACCTTTATGTCGGTAGGTAACAGGGGAGTTTTACCGAAGACGTTGTGCCTTAGACGGCCTCTGGCGACACAATTGCACAGTATATGTTCAGCAGTTTCTGACTCGTCGTTGCATAGTCGACAAGTTTGATCCTCAGCTTGTCCAATGTGGAAGAGGTGGTATTTTAGGGGCACATGGCCGGTTAGGTAGCCTGAGAGCGTTGTTAGACCCCCTTTGCTGAGCCATAAAACCTCTTTGGTTTTGTTTTGCGACGGAGTTATCATACTCTTCGCTTGTCTGTGACCTGGAAGTTCTTTCCAGCGTAAGGCTATCTTTGAAGCCTCCCAGTTGTTGATTATTTGTTTTAGGTGGCTTTTTTGTAGTCCACATCCAGGTTGGGGTCCAATGAAGGGCGTGTTTGCTGCCTCTTTGGCCAGCTTGTCGGCCTTCTCATTGCCCTCAATGTTGCTGTGACCTGGAACCCACCATAGGGTAACATCATTGCCCCTAGCGAGCTCTCTCAGGTTGTTGGTGCACTCTCTGATCAGTGCGGAGCCACACGTGTAGGCCTGAATTGCCTTTAAGGTGGCCCGACTGTCTGTGAAAATGTTTATGAATGCACCTTTTGTAGGTTCAAAGCGGTGCAGAAGTTTATAGCAAGAACTTCTGCTTGGAAAATTGTTAAATCCGAGCTGAGGGGCAATTTGATGTGGCTATTTGGTCCACTGATGCCCATGCCTACTCCAGATCTTACTGTCTTTGAAGCATCGGTGTACCAGGCTAGGGCTCCTCTTTTTAGTTGAGGCCCTCCTTTCGCCAAGTCATCCCTGCTACTAAATATGACCTTATACGGTTGGTTGAAATTGTATTCCGTCGGTATAAGGTCCGTTTTAATTTCAATCAGGTGATTTAGACATGGGTCTTTGAGGATCTCGAGGTGTCCTCTGAGGTTACCCTGCATCAACTTGAGTGAAGAAACTGTTTTCAGTGATAAGGCACTTAAGGCACTTAAGGTGTGAGACCGAGTAGGGCTTCCAAAGCAGCCGTCAGACAGGATCTCATTGCACCCGTTATGTTAAGACATGCTAACCGCTGGATTTGTGCCAGCTGTTGTTGAGCTGTCTTATGATTTGTTTTTGGCCACCAAACCAATGAGGCGTAGGCGACCATGGGTCTGATTATTGCTACGTAGGCCCAATGAGCCATTCGTGGTTTGAGATCCCAGTTCCTTCCTAGGAGCCTGCGGCAGATCTGGTTTGCCATGATGGCCTTTTTCCTCACCTTATCTAAGTGTGAGTTCCAGTTTAGTTTACTGTCAAGTATTACCCCTAGGTATTTAGTTTCTGTTTTGAGGTTAATAGTTTTGCTTTCAATGGAGGGTGCTTTTATTTGTAGCTTCCTTCTCCGAGTGAAAGGGACTATTTCGATTTTATTGGGATTGATGCTGAGCCCATTGCTTCTGCACCAAGTACTGGTGAGTAGTAGGGCTTTCTGCATTAGCTGAGTTATGATTGAATCATATTTACCTCGGATTGTGATTACCAGGTCATCAGCATACCCTTGTATCTTAAATCCGTTTTTAGTTAGGGTGTTCATCAAGTCATCAACTACCAGGCACCATAATAGAGGTGATAGCACTCCCCCTTGGGGACATCCTCTTAGCGCCTTTATAGTCAGCGACTCGCCTCCCAGACTGGCTGTGATCTGCCGACTTTTCAACATGGCTATACACCACTTGATTGTCGACGGATGTATGTCTTTTACGTTTAAAGCCTTCTCTATGGATTCATATGAGGTGTTATCAAACGCACCCTCTATATCTATGAAAGCACAAAGGGCTATCTCTTTGGTTGCAATTGCCTCCTCTAAGGTGCTAGTCAAAGCATGGAGAGCGGTAATTGTTGATTTTGCTTTCTGGTAAGCATGTTGGCTAGGGTGGAGTGGATTTGTGACAAGCACTCCATTCCTTAGGTATTGATCGATTACCTTTTCCATCCCTTTGATGAGAAATGAAGTTAGGCTAATTGGCCTGTACGCCTTGGGGTCCGCGTTTGAACACCTACCACCTTTAGGTATGAAGACCGCCTTTACTTTCCTCCATAGAGTGGGTATATAGCTAAAGCTGTAGCTAGCTATATATAGGGATATTATTATTGGGAGAAGGTCTTCTAAACCTTTTTGCAGTAGCTTAAGCATACTTTGAATCCTAAATAGATATCCTAAAAATCGAGTGTTTTCTGATTTTTTGAACAAATGTCTGCTGGAGCAGATTTTTCTAGAAAAATTCGAATAACTCGAGAACGGTCGAATCAAATTGCAAAAAGTAAAGTTATTTATAAACCTTGAAAACAGACAAATCCAAATATGTAAAAATATACAGGTGTTCCATTTAAAAAAATAAAGTTGGTGGCGACTTCCGGTGTAACCGGAAGTGCTAGAAATCTGAAAATATTTTAATCGAAGAGAACGCAATTAATAATACTTAAGTATGAATTTTCAAATTTTTATTTTAGCCAGAACTTCAGAAACGTCTAATGATCTCTGAGACACCCTGTATAAAATGATATGTCTGTCCAAAAACGTTTATTTATAAAGATATATTGTTTAAGTTATTCAGTTTTAGTTCATATAGATACGATAGGAAAGCGATTCATATTCTTCGAATATATTATTATTTATTCGTCCAATATGGAAGGCCAAATTCTTTTTTAAATACTAAAAAGTTTTAGTTTTTAGAAGAATTGACACTTGAATGTGTGTAATTTGAGAAATGAAAAATTATTGCTTATAGTATTTTCCTTTCGTTTTACTAAGCTACTATTAGCGGAGTTATGCTTTGTTGCATAAAGTAAAATCACATTAAAAACACCACAAACCTTTAAAAATAACAATCATTTATTTATATTTAACACTTGAACATAAACAAAAACAAGTACGCATGTAGCAAATATTTTTCTGTTTTATTATCATATTGAAATGGGTTTTTACTTTCATGGAATGCCATAGGTTAGACAGTAAAAATGTTGGATTTTATTTTTTACGTTAGCATAAATCATTTTTTATGTAATTATTTATTTAATAAGTTATAAGGATTAAGTTGTAAAATGGATGAAAAAATAGTGAAATCCAAATAAAGTACCTGCGTTTTTAATTCTTTATTTATTTATGAACTCTATTATTTAATTCGGAGAAGTGTTTTCAAATTGAAGCGCCAAAAAGAAGGGTTGCTATTGGTCAATTTTAAGCAAAATTTACACTAGGAAAATTCGAGATGTTGCCGGTAGCCTAAAAACATTCTGGTTTAGTCGCACGTCTCTCAGTATGGCTAAACCCAAATGATTCTAGTTCTAGGTCTTGTGTTAGTTCTAGTGATAGTGCTAGTGTAGAAATAGAACTAACACTAGACCAAGAACTAGAAACATTCGGGTTTAGCCGCACGTCTCTCAAGACGGCTAAACCCGAATGATTCTAGTTCTAGGTCTTGTGTTAGTTCTAGTGATAGTTTAGTGTAAAACTAGAACTAACACTACACCTAGAACTAGAAACATTCGGGTTTAGCCGCACGTCTCTCAAGACGGCTAAACCCGAATGATTCTAGTTCTAGGTCTTGTGTTAGTTCTAGTGATAGTTTAGTGTAAAACTAGAACTAACACTAGACCAAGAACTAGAAACATTCGGGTTTAGCCGTCTTTAGAGACGTGCGGTTAAACCCAAATGATTCTAGTTCTAGGTCTTGTGTTACTTCTAGTGATAGTGCCAGTGCAAAACTAGAACTAACACTAGACCAAGAACTAGAAACATGATGTTTAATTCTTGAACGCTGTAAACTTGTTGAAAACTTTACTGTATTAGGTACCCGTCTAGTTAAACATAAAAAAAAAATTACGACATTTTATTAAAATTCTTACGTAGTTTTTATTACATATCATGTCTTTTCAATAAATAAAATCATACACCAGGAAATGGACGATTTCCATCAAAAACAAAAAACGTTTCGGTTGCATTTGCTATGTTCAATCCATCCATAACGTCACACATATCAGGTGTAGCCATATATTGGCCATAAAGTTTCAAAAATGTATTCAAAGGACAAAATTCATGGCAACCATCCAAAATTAGAACTTCCGGGTTTGGATGTTCCTTTGATCGTTCATGATAAAGTACCTTAACATGAAAATGATTTTAAAATACAAATACAATTATTTAAATTCTTAACTTACTTTTATGTTATACGTATTATTAATCTTATGTAATTCAATTGATATGTATGAACCGTAAGGAATCGATTTTTTTAATTGAATACCTAAAGTACCCATTAAATTTGCTATTGTAAAATCGTGTCCGGAATATAAATTAATTTTACGATGTATCAGTTTAGGATCATTTATTTTTGATTGAATTGATTTAACTATTTCGGTTAAGATAAATCCTCCTGATAACAATTTAAGTTCTTCAGTTCTACTAGATAAAACATATGAAATAGCTTCGTATTCTTCGAGTTGTGGCATATATTCTTCTGTCCAATCTGGAAGTTTAAGACCAAAATCTTTCTGAAAATATACAAACAATTTATTAGAATGTGTATTTCTTTTGAAATCGTTTGACGCAATTGCATTAATAAATAAGAAATCTAAAAATAGTTTTACCTGTAATTTTAAATGTAAATATAACGTAAATAAATCCCGATAACTTGAATATTTAGCACCTGTCAATAATTCCAGCTTTTCTAATAATTTCTTGAAACCTTTCATTTCGTTGTTCGCTATAGATTTTTCAGTTTCTCTTCGATATAATTGAGAAAATCTTTTGCAAAATAAGAAATATAAAAAGATCTGCAATAATATGATTTATTTAAAAGAATATTGTTATGGATTTATACTTACTGTATCTTTATTAAACGTGTAATAATCATAAGCAATTGGTTGCCAATTAAGATCATCGGTAGGAAATAGCTGCTCTTCTGGTCTAAACATTGCCGCTAAAACTATCAACAACGATACGCGACTTCTCATAAATGGTGAAGATAGTGGATATACGATATCTCTGTGGTAATTTTGTAATAAGTGGCAATAATGAGCTTTTATGTATTTTCCTACTTCGAAAAGTGTTCGTTTTCCAATCTAAAATTAATTCATTAAAATTAATAAAAAATAATAAATTTGAAATTACATGTGTTAAAGCTGATGGTCCATAAGGTTCATAAGTATAATTCTTATAAGGATCATTTGGATAACCAGAAATGTCCAATGGTGTTCGTTCTCCATGTCGAAATAACTAAAAAAATATAATTTTATATCGACCTTAATTTCATTTATTTTTTTTTAGTTACAATTTGCGCAAATATTAGTGTAGAATGATTCTGTTTAAAATAACATTTGGTTGATGAAGTTGTTGAATTTTTTTCTTTCAGTATAAAATAAAAAATAATTGTTACAAATATAATTGTAAATGTCTAAAAGTAGAAATTAAGGTAAATATTTTCTTTAAGTTTAATGTAGAATCTACAATTAAAAGCTTACGATAAGTATCCATCGGGAAATTAATATGGTTTTCCTTTGTTGCTTTTTAATTTTTGTGTAGGTGGTGGTATCCATTTGGAATGATTATGTGAACTGAAAGTATTTTTTACGTTGAGTAGGTTATATTTCTAAAGTTTACAATGAAAAATTCTTTAAATAAAATACAAGTTATTTAAATAGAAATAAAATTTCAATCATATTTGTCTTGTGAAGTTATTTTCTTTTTTTGTAAAATAATTATTATTTTTACACCATTACTTTTATAATGTCATACTTCGCAACCTAAAGAAGAGGATGCACGTTTGAGTAACCAGATAGTACACAGCAAGAAATAGTTTGAAATTACTCTTGCCAATCAGAAACTGAAATAAGAATCTGAGTTTGCCTTTGCAGAAAAATTTGCAACTTTCTTATCTCTTGACAATTTGACACTGCAGATAATAAAGTTCAACCCCAATAGGACTTTTTTCATTGAATACAACTTTATTTATATCAGGTTTGTCATTAGCAACCTCATTGTAACAATCCCAATACGATATAATCTCTGGTTGCAGTTTTGTCTAGTTTTCTTCTCTTCGTTTGTAATTCATCATCATATTCATTACTAACAGAACTGTCGCTGTTATCACTTTTGATTATTAATTAAAGTATCCTCTTTTTAATGCAAAAAGCCGTTTTGAAAAATCACTTTCAGTTCTTGAGGAATAAATTTTTGAAATGATCGAAAATTTTTTCGAATTTTGCAATTTTGGCCGATTAAGTTTTAAAAATTTGTATAAAATCCAGTTCTTGGAATATGAGTATGAAATTTTCCCAATCTGTTAATAAGAGTGTCCTCTTTCCAATGAACCAACTCGTTTTGAAAAATAACTTTTGGTTTTTGAGAAAACAATATTTTAAGTTTTGAAAAAATTTTCGATATTGCAATTTTCATCAATAATTTTCAAAATTCGCTATAAAATTAATTTCTTGAAGGATCCTTGTAGAAATATCAGTAATTATTAATTAAAGTATCCTCTTTTTAATGCAAAAAGTCGTTTTGAAAAATCACTTTCAGTTCTTGAGAAATAAATTTTTTAAATGATCGACAATTTTTTCGAATTTTTATTATTTTTATTGTATCGAATGTTAAACTAAAATCAAGCTTACATATAGTTTTAGAGAATGGCGAGTCGCAGTTTCAGTTAATGTATGCAAATTAACCCACAATTCTTTCTTAAAATCGTATACAATTGAATAAAATGCAGTTACGTAAACGGAAATGAATTGAAATTTTGATTGGTATAATAAGTAGTTCATATAAATAGTTCCTCGCATTGTTTAACGTGCTCTCTGAGATTACTTTTTTAAATGTTGGTTAGACACAATATCTCTGTTGAAAATGAGTCCGATCACAGAGTTTTATAGTGAAAAAACGATTTTTATAACCGGCGCAACTGGTTATATGGGAAAAGTGCTATTAGAAAAATTAGTACGTAGCTTGCCGGAAATAAAAAAAATTTACATTCTATTACGTCCTAAAAAAGGTTGTTCACCTCAAGAAAGACTCAAGAAATTAACTGATGACGTGGTGAGTTTTAAATGACGAAAAATATACTAAAAATCTTTAAAGATTTTTACGTTTCATGATATGAACGCAAAAGCTTACGATAAAATCGAGGTTATATCCGGTGACGTTTCAAAAGAAAATTTTGAATTGTCGGAAGTTGATAAGAAAAAATTAATTGAAGAGGTCTCGATTGTATTCCACCTTGCCGCATGTGTTAGAATGGATCTTCCTTTAAAAGAAGCAGTTATAACAAATACTAAATCAACATATCAATTATTTAAATTTTGTATGAATATGAAAGCTTTAAAGGTAAGTAATAAAATTGAAGTAAAATAATAAAATAATTTAATTTAATTTAATTCTAGTCTGTTGTGCATTTATCGACTGCTTTTTGTAATGTTGAAATTATTAATGGGGAGGAGAAAATTTACTCCATGGATCTTGATCCTTATAAAATAATTGATTTGGTCGAATGGATGGATGACAAATCTTTAAATAATATTACGAAAAGGTATGATTAAATTGATTTTAAATTCTACAAATTATATTGCGATGTAATTTATGTAGATTATTAGGTCCCCATCCGAACACTTATACATTTACCAAAAGATTGTCTGAGATGATTGCCATGGATATGAATGATAAAATTCCTTTAATAATATCAAGACCTTCCATTGGTGACACAATAAAGAAATACTAACTTAAAGAAAAGTTTTCGAATAATCCATTTTTAGTTTTCCCTGCAATAAAAGAGCCAATTCCCGGCTGGGTGGATAATTTAAATGGACCCATAGGATTATTTTATGCTGGAGGTAAAGGAATTGTAAGAAGCGGAATTATTGATGAGAATCTTGTCCCGCAAATAATACCAGTTGATGTTGCTATAAATTCTTTAATTGTTAGTGGATATGAACGTGCAACGAACATGTATGTGTATATTATATATTTCTTTAAAAACAACTTTGGTATTATTTAATTTGGTATTTAGGTATTGTGATCGTGTGATTAATGTATCTTGTGGTGATGTTCTTCGTCCTACTTGGCGAGATATGTTCGTTACGTTTCAATATTTGGCTATAAAGTATCCATATAAACTTATTTTATGGTATCCTAAGCCACACTTGACAACGTCTTATTATTTGTATATCATCAATGTAATTCTTTTTCAAATACTTCCGGCTATAATAATTGATTTTTTATTAATCATCTTTTTGCAAAAACCTTTGTAAGTATTACTATATAAAATTTGAATTGCTAAAAAATTATTAAATTAATATTATTTTATTTAAACTTATAGCTTAATTAATATACAAAAGCGTTTATTGTTGACTTGGAAAGTTCTCCAACCCTTCACTACAAAGAAATGGATCTTTAGTAATACTAATTTCTTAAAATTGCATGAAAAACTTAACACATATGATAGTAACGTATTCTACATAATTGAAAATTTTGAAGAAAAAAAATTTAGAAAGTATTGTAAAGATTGTTTCAAAACGGCAAATAAGTATTTGTTGAAAGAAACTTTAGAAAACTTGTCTCTTTACAGGATCCGTAATAAAATGTAAGATCAATTATATGGATGACTAAAATAAACTGACCGGCAAAAAAAACCGGCCACTATAAATTTGCCACAACTTCAAAGCTGGCTTTCTCGCGAACCGCGCATTCGATTTTGATGATTCTTTTTTTGATGGAAAGGTTGATTCTTCTATAATAATCCTCCGATAGAAATTTTCGTTCAGATTTTAATTTGAGCATATACGGGGTGAGAAAAATGAGAAAGCTTTTATTCTCGAAATTTGTAACACCCTCTCTGCTATAGCAGCTGCACCCCGTTGTTGGGGTGCAGCTGCTATAGCAGAGAGTATTACCTGGAATCAAACAGTAGCCCAATCTTTTCTGAGCATTTTCTTTTTTTATTCATTCTATTATCTCTATTACTAACGAAGATGCAGTATTTTAAAGCGATCGTCTGTGAAAACAAGATGAGTGACAATAGTAGCTGATGACCGTTTTATTGTTCTAAGCAATGGTAGAACGACAACTGTAGAGGCTCGGCATCGTCTTCAAATAGTGCGTGTTGTTGATGTCAGTGAGAGAACCATTCGCTGAAAACTTGCTAGAACTGGTCTGGCTGCAAGAAGGCTGCCAAAGGGCCCAGGCTGCTTCTTAGATATTGACGTGCGAGTCTTCAATCTGCGCGCTTACATGTAAATTGGGAGATCGAGCAATGGAGAAATGAGTAGTACAATGGAGGTTCTTTTTACGGATGAGTAGTGGTTTTGTCTACTATCACCCGATAGTCAGGAACGAATATGAAGACGTTGAAATGAAAGATTTGTGGACTATACAATTATGAAACGCGAAAGTTTCGATGGTGGTTCTCTGATGGTGTGGCCGGAAAATTTCCAAAGAAGCCTATACAGATTTTTAATCATTGTTAAAAGGTTCGTAATTGTTTCTTGAGGAATTGCGGTAAACTCTTCTTCAAAAGCAATTCGCAACTCCTGAAGGTTGTCCGGTAGGACAGGACGACGACGAATGCGACTCTGAAGTTGGTTCCAAAGATGTTCGATACGGTTAAGGTCCGGGCTACACGCTGGCCACTCCATCCGTTCAATACCCACCTCATCAAGATATTCGCTAACCACACGTGCTACGTGCGGTCACGCAATCCGTCACCAATAAAATAGGAATAGGGCACGACAGCTTTTTGCAGAATATCTTGGATATAACGGGGGGCATTTAGCGTGCCATTTTCAACAAAGATGAACCGAACCACCATGGAAAGGTACTCTTTCCGAAATTGTGCAGGTCGCAAACCTTTCATTACGACGTCTCCACACTCGTTCTCGACCATCAGGTGACCGGAGACAAAATCGGGACTCGTCAGTGAAGAGCACCTTACCCCATTGTTCCATTTCCCAATTCGTATGTAGGCGCCCAAATTGAAGACGTGCTCGCCGCTGTCTTTTGGCAGGTCTTCTTGCAGTTAGATCACTTTCAGCAAGTCTTCGACAAATGGTTCTTTCACTTACGTCAACCCCACGCACCATTTGAAGACGATGACGAGTTTCTACAGCGGTCGTTCTACGATTCCTCAGAGTGTTTAGCACAATAAATCGATCATCAAAATTTTCTGTTTCCACATATCGGTTCCAGGCATCTTGAACTGTTGTGCGGGGTATACCCAACGTATGGGCAACGTACCGCTGACATCGCCATCTTCAATTAAATTAATAATCAGTTATTGACAACGGCATCTTTGACAACTGTCAATTTACTATTCGAAACAACTGACATACGATACCTAGCGCGCCACCTTAGATTTTGTATGCTTGTTTGTCTTGTTTTCGCAGGCGTTCGCTTTAAAACACTGCATCTTCTTTAGTAACGGAGATAATAAAGTGAATAAAAAAACAAAATGTTCAGAAAAGATTGGGTACCGTTTGATTCCAGTTAACACCCTCTGCTGTAGCATCTGCACCCCACAGGGTATTACAAATTTCGAGAAAAAATGCTTTTCTCATTCTTGCACCCCGTATATGCTCAAATTAATATCCGAATAAAAATTTCTATCGCAGGATTATTACAGAAGAATCAACCTTTCGATCAAAAAAGGAATCATCAAAATCGAATGAGTGGTTCGCTAGAGACCCAGCTTTGAAATTGTGGCAAAATTTTAGTGGCCGGTTTTTTTTGCCGGTCAGTTTATAACAAAATTAATATTGATTTATTTGCAGATTATTTGTATTGGATTTATTAATCAAAGTTTTTTTTATTTATTTTGTACTGAAATGGATTTTTGTAAAACATTTTTAATTCCTTTTAACTTTATAAATATGTTATGCTACAAAAAACCTAAATTTCTTTCGGCACAATATTCAGTGGTAGCACACAAGTGTTTGTCAAAATGGGGAAGTGGCAAAATAGAATTATTAATAACGTTTAAAGAGATGATGGGCAGTTCGTTAATGGTCATAAGTAACTAATGTGGCATAGGAATTCCAGGTGAAGGTAAACCAGGGAAGGTAGAAGAAGAAGATGTAGGAGGGTATCGGTGTTGAGGGGAAGATAAAGGGAACTAGTTCTTAGCCATTGACAGGCCTACTGAAATTGGTTACGGGGGCCTCCGGAGCGCCACCCAAGCAGCTAACCTAGACACCTCAACGTTGGCAAGCGTGAATGGGTCCATTTTTCGGCGCCAGGGATATTAACAGGGTCGGCTCGCTTTGATCGTGCGATTCGCACCCGTTCCCATCGAAAGCGGCGACCCTCTTAGATCTACCTTCGATCTACCTTTATTCTTTAGGCCGTGTTTACATTTCTAGTCGGTTTAGTGTGAATTATTATAACAATAATTATAAATAAAAAAAGTTCTAAATAAGTCGAACTAAATCGTTTGGAAGTAGCACGTTTTAAAAGTGTGTGTTCCAAATTCCAAGAAGGTAAACACAAAGTAAGAATAACCCTAATTTTCTACGCAGATTCCTTTGAGGTTTTAACTCAAAGAGATAATGATACTACAAGATAAACTATTTACAGTATTTACCATAATGGAAAATCTGTCACTTGTACAAAAGCAATAAGCTTTCAAACTTACAATTTTAAAAGAAAACAAACCGACCAAGTTCATATATTTAAAAAGACAAATTTGTCATCTTAATGACTTGTTTTGGGATTTTCAACAACGAATACTGCAAATGTATTATATTGATAACCATATATACAGGGTGGCTCAGCGAAACCGTTCATTAGACGTTTAGCAAAACTTTATAAATAAATCACCTTTAATTAGTTGATAATGGATAAATACATTGAAATGAAAACGATGAATTTTAAAATTATCATATAATTAATAGGTTCTTTGGATAGTGTTTCATTAATGGGACCGTGCGAGGATGGTTGGCAGCACGTATTAAGCATAATGATGATGCATCGAAGCGTCAGGTTACTTGTTACTCAACTCCGCGGCCGAGCTTCATAAATAATTCAGTAATTTATTTAGGTGTTATCCTACATGTGACGTACACCCATAAATACTAATTACTACACGTGTTCTCGCCCCCCTTCATACGGTGGCGTGTGCGGCATAAGCGACCGTTAATTCGTACAAAAGGGAATTTATCGTTCCGCGGCTATTTTTGCGACTCGGTCCCATAATTCAAAATTAATTTAATTTGTGTCGTGTGCTCGATTATTTCGTTTATTTTTCGTTAATGGGCGACTCTTTTGGGTTTTGAACACCGCTGCTGGTGCTGCTGCTAGTCCCCCAGCTGTTAGATGCCCGGGAATGCGTTGATAATTGCGCATTGTGCTCGCTGTCAGCTCTTTTGGCTTTATATCCATATTAAATCGGTTAAAATATGGTTTTGGGAGGGAATTTCTTACGAGGGTCGTCTCATCTTTGTAACTGAAAGGCGTTCGCCGTGGTTTATATAGAAAGCCCAAGATATATACTGAGGAATAATATATGGATCTGAAGGAGTTTTTTCTCACAGACAACACCTCAAGGTAATTAACTTTAGAATTTTTTGTTCTCCGAAAAAATTTCGTGTTTTCACTGTAAATATTTTCTTCACCAGTGTGGTCCATAAGCAGTCTTATTTCCAACACCTGAATTCCGAACTGGACCCTCGGTTAACCCTCCTGTGGTGAACTATCCTAGCTAAATGTCTCTTTATTGTATTTGCACAATTTAGTGCCATTGAAAAACGTTGTTATTTTATTAAGACTCATTGTAAGACCGACCGGTGGCAGTCGACACTTCGTTTCAATAAAAACTACTAGAATGCCTCAATGGCGTGATAATGGACATATAAGTAACTGATTGTTGACAAAGGAATAGGAACTGTATCCTCCTCGACCAGTTTTAAAAAGATACCCGAAAATGTGAATAGAACTTTTCTTGTGTGTTCTTGTTGACACCTTGTATTTTCTTTTATGTTGGAACGGAAATGAACGTTTTATTGTATGGTTTATTTAAGTTCTTATTATTATTAGTTTTTATTAATGGTTTCAGCAGTGAAAATTTTCCATAAAAAAAAATATTTAAAATTCAAGAATAAATATTATGATAGAAATAAATTATTAAATTACATCTTCACGGGGATTGTTGCAAAAAGGATTAATAATTTATTGTATTTTGTAGTAAAGAGTAAAATTATATTGTTTACTTAAACATTTTTAAGTGATTTAAGTATTATACAATAGAATCTCAAAAACTTATCCGCCGAAGTATTTTAACCTATTTTAAAAACGTTTTAGGTGTTGGAAACTGCAGATAATAATCAAGTTCAACCCCAATAGGACTATTTTCATTGAATACAACTTTATTTATATCAGGTTTGTCATTAGCAACCTCATTGGAACAATTCCAATACGATGTATAAAATCTCTTGTTGCAGTTTCGTCTAGTTTTCTTCTCTTTGCTTGTAATTCATCATTACTAACATCACATTCATTACTAACAGAACTGTCGCTGTTATCACTTTCAATTATTAATTAAAGTATTCTCTTTTTAATGCAAAAAGCCGTTTTGAAAAATCACATTCAGTTCTTGAGAAATAAATTTTTGAAATTATCAATAATTTTTTCGAATTTTGCAATTTTCGCCGATTAAGGCCCACTTTTACCACCGCCTGATAAATTTATCCGATAGATAAATCCAGTTCTTAGCCAATGAGAGCGCTTAAAACCGCCGTAACCATGGCAACTATCCTCTAGATAGTTTATCAGGAAGATGGTAAAAGTGGGCCTTAGTTTAGTGAAAATAATTTCACTTTTAAGTTGGATCAGATTGATTTTATGTATCTAATATTAATAGGAAAATGCATGGTTAACATTGCTTGTGACGTTACATCGAAACTTTAATATGATTTTTCGGTATGTTCTACACTTTTTCACAGTATCTTTTTATTTTTAACGTGTTTTTTTGATCATTTCACATTGATTAAAAAAAAAATCGTCGTTTTTTAAGCCACATGATGATTCTTAAATTTTTCCCTTATTTGAAATATTTATTTCTGTTTTAATTAATTAAATGTTTAGCCGATATAGTAGACCTCGCAATGAGAAGCGCCGCGATAGTAACCCATCAAATTTAAACACTTCATACGTAGAGAAACGAACNAAAGTATCCTCTTTTTAATGCAAAAAGCCGTTTTGAAAAATCACTTTTAGTTCTTGAGAAATAAATTTTTGAAATAATCGACAATTTTTTCGAATTTTGCATTTCTCGCCGATTAAATTTTAATAATTCGTATAAAATCGATTTCTTGGAATATGCATATGAAAATTTCTCAAAATGTTAATAAAAGTGTCCTCTTTACAATGAACCAACCAGTTTTGAAAAATAACTTTTAGTTTTTGAGAAAACAATATTTGAAATTTTGATAAAATTTTTGATGTTTCAATTTTCATCGATATTTTCAAAATTCGCTATAAAAATAATTTCTTGAAGGATCCTTGTGGAAATATCACCAATTGTTAATTAAAGTATCCTCTTTTTAATGCAAAAAGCCGTTTTGAAAAATCGCTTTTAGTTCTTGAGAAATAAATTGTTGAAATAATTGACAATTTTTTCGATTTTCCATTTCTTACCGATTAAATTTTAATAATTCGTATAAAATCGATTTCTTGGAATATGCATATGAAAATTTCTCAAAATGTTAATAAAAGTGTCCTTTTTCCAAATTAGATTTTCATCTCTGCATATAAAAGTGGGTTGGGTTAGGTTTTAAGGCTTTATTAACTGAAGAAGATTGTGCAAGTATTCTAATATCTCGATATTTCCTAGATATTTTGTATTAATTTCTAACTTTACCTTGAAAATCTAATTTCCCATATAATTCATTTTTTAATACACGTGCCATCACAGTAACAATGATAACGTAAGTTATAGTAAAGTTTTCCATCATTGAAATATTTAACGTTCCAGTTTTTTCCGCGATATTTATCACGCGAGTAATTTTATAGATTTTCTACACTTGAAATAACTATTAAATACCAAGTCGTAACATATTTTTTTCTCGCACTTTAAAAAAGTGTTTATTTTTGTAGCAGAGTTATAACTTTATTAGCTGGATCCTGCAACAGAGAGAAAGTGAGAAGTAGCTATCTGAGATAAAGCCAAAGGGAATGGGTAATTACATGTGTTAATTGCACAAAGAACCCGCCAAAAGGACCCAGTGTGGGCGGTCTATTCCGAAAGGCGATTCGCCCACACTCAGACACGGACCGAGAAATCAATCATTAGCTGGAAGTGGAAATCAAACGGGTCCGACCAGGTCGAACTCAGAGGTGTTAATTAAATCATTTTGGGTTGGTCTAAAATGCATATACAAAAGAAAATTATTTCGAATTTATTTTTTGGTAACCATTAAGATGAACAACTCAATTGGGGGAAAATAACGTTTAGTTTCAAGGGGGTGGAAGGTTCATTTAAAGAGAAGAAACAGCGGTGAGGATTTAATTTAGTGGCAAGGTTTCGGAGGACCAAGGAGAATCGGCAACATTATTTTCGCCTGGGCTAATAAAAACGAAGGAAAAAAAGAACCCTTGGGGAATATCTGGTGGGCCACCCATGGTCCTGCGGTGGTGTTCGTCCTCCGTCGGTGGGGGCCGCTTAATGACTGTTCAACAGGTCTGTTGGTGTTATATTCTTCGCCGTCCCGGCCCTTGCCCTGTCATTTTCTGGCGATTTGTACAGCAATTAGCCCCGGATCGCACACCTCGCGATTGCTTAAGAGCCGATTATTTTTTAGCACGCACCAAAACATGTATTTTACCAAGAATTCGTGCGATAAAAAAAGTTTTTAAACCATCTCGACAACGGTGGTTTATAAAAACCATCTTATCATCTTCATTCTATTCATTTAGAAACCACCAAGAAGTTAGAAAATAAGTCATCAAGAAGATTACGGACAATAGGAAATTATATTTAATATCGTGAGTCATGTCGACCAATTTCCCGTGTTATTCATTCATACTCGATGCAACAAAAGGAGAGCCGAAACCCTGGGCCAAAACGCGATCACAAAAGGAGGATAATAATGAAAAAAAAAAACGCAAAGAATAAGAAGAAAAAGGAAGAGAGGGAGGAGGCGCCGAAGACCGTTGAAAGGCCACCGAGCTTCATATTAGCCATAATAACGGCTAAGCTTCCAGATAATTTTATGGAATTTGTATCTTCGAATACCGCACGGCAAGTGAACTGTGACTTTTTTATACTGAACGTGATGACTAGCAGCTTTATAATTGTAATATTAACCCTTGATGACGGTCTTTTGACCGGAGTATATTTGTACACGATCTTCCTAAGTGCATATTGTTAATAAATCCTTATATAATAACTTGAGAATGTATTCATTTTCACACACGCATTGT